GCGATCCAATCGACGCATACCGATTTATTTGGATCATTCCTTCCATTCAGGGAGTATGTCTCAAGTGGGTGGTCCGTAGATGATAGTTCCTATGGGCCTTTCCCTTTCCAAGAGGGGACCCCCTGCAAATGGTCCGGATTTTCAGGTCGGAAGCCCGGCTTCGTCGGGCTTTGCAAGCTCCGGGGGTCTGTTTGTGTGTGTGTGCGCGTTTTTGGGATTCAAGGACTGTTTTTGCCTTTTGGCTTGCCCTTAAAACTACAAAAAAGGGCTACCCTTGAAAAAGGACACACCCCAATCATGATAAGAGTGAGCTCTATAGTATCCTGAAGGTCAACACTTTGAACGAGGAGGCTGACCCCCTGATCGTCGAACTCCGTTCCGATGTTGTACCATACATACAACCACAATATGTCCAGCGCCGCGGCGCGGCGATCCTTACTTTGAATAAAAAAACTTCAACTGCAAAGACTTCAAAACAACGATTCCATGATGAGTAACCCCTCATGACCCAGGCTTCAAAGAACATCGGCAGAATGAGCATGTTACATTCGGACTTCGAGGAAACAGCAAACGCCCTATCAGCAAGTAAGCAATTTCTCTTTGAGCGAGCTTGGATCTCTTTCTAACTGACCAGACCGGGAAGACCGGGACTGGCAGGGCCATGCCTGGTGGGAGTCGTTCAGCGCCCCTTGAGCACCCTGGGCCTAGCAGGCCGAAGGGAGAAGCAGCTCAAGCAGAGGCACCAGGTCCAGCGATCGGAAGCGCCATCTATTCTCTACCACACAAAAAGGACACCTGTGACCTCGAAATCACCCCGAGTTGAGCATGGGCGGCCTTGCGGCTTGTTTGAAACTGGCTCCCATGGCATCGAATATTGGTGTGTCCTTGTTTGAGGGTCGGAAATCCGAAATCCATTTTGGCGGTCTGGAAAGAATAGACTCTATTGAATAGACATGTCTCCAGTGATAGATTCCTTTAAAACAAATTGAACATATTTATGTTCTCAAGGAACTGGAAGGTTACTAACCAATCGAAACCAATCTGGGCTGTTCAAGATGGCTCGTGTTGGCCAATCCATAATCCCTATTGGTAACCGCTACAAAGGGGGCCATGTTCGTAAATACAAGTCAGGATTAAGGATTGCCTGTGAACAGCCCAGTCAATACTGAATACAGCTTTTATCAAGCAAGTGGAAGGTTACTAACCACTCACAGGAGAGACACTTGTATTCGCTATTAGGTCAACCACTCAACCACTCACTAAGTAGCCTGCTCCTTCAAGTACAATCCTTCATGAAGACGTTCCCATTTCTTACATGATTGTGTTGTCGTCCTCCTTCATAACGTTTGGCTCCAGAAGTAAGTTTCCGGAACTGAGTGTTTCAGACTTTTAGCGTCTGTTGCATGCGCCAGCGTGCTGGCGGCACACTCCATCAATCAGTTTCTCCCCGAATGAAGTGAGTGATTGCTGCGCCTAGGCCTGGGTGCTTCCGAGGAAGGAGGTTTGGACATTTTGCCCTCCGGCTTCCCTTCGACCCTCCAACCCCGCCTCTGAGAAGGTCACGTACCCGAAGCCCCGGGAGCGGCCATCCGGCCAGCGCCTCAGCTCCATTCTCGCACTGGATCGAAGGAAGCCAGCCCTGGTGCCCCAAGTGTCGCGGTAAACCCAAGTCTGCCCTGACTTGATGGAATCCACTTGCCCCAAGCCGCGTTCCATGCGAAGTTGAACCATGCCGCGAACCGTCCGATCACTTCTGAATACGACCAGAGGTTCAACCCCCTCAAACCAGAAAGACCACCTCCTCCCCCCCAGGCGGCCTCCAAACAGTGCCCGAACCCTTAGACAAAAACCACTGGCAACTGGCCGGGCCTGGCCAGTGTAACCTGGCAACCCATAACCTTTGGGTGACCCGTGGGGCAACTTAATCTTGGAGAAAAAAACGACCCTCGAAAAGGTACCTATTTGTTGATGGCCCTGGCAAGCGTCGAGGTATCACCAATCTGCCTTCCCATGACAGGCAACCTGAGTTCACGGCAGAACAACTGCATCAACGATTCCTCCGTATTTCACCTGCCACCGAGCTCGAGAATCCGTGAACCGCACGCTGTCAACACTCAAGCCATGCAGTAAAACGCGAAGCTTACATGTGGCGTGCCCACACACAAACAGCTCAGTGGTTGAACATGGCAGGTTGGCGAAGTAGTCACGGAGGTGTTGTGTGGTTGTCCTCGGTGTGAATTCTCCACTTGGCTCCCATGCAGGCAGGTCGGCATCTGGAAGAATGCCCCTCGTGCATTGACCGACGCAGGCTGCTTTGGCTGCCTGCCATGTTTTGTCATGCTCAGACATGCTGAGCTCTCGGCTTGTGCGCTAGGCCACCAATAAAGATCTTTCTTGGGTGGCATTGATCCTGACAATCCGGCTATGCGGTCTCAGCGGCGCTACATGCCACGATGCTCAACATGCCCACCCAGAGCAAGGTCTCCCGGGTACGCAGCAGGGGCGGGTGCCCAGAAACCCGAAGAAAGAAACCAGTGTGTCGAAATGCGGCAGCCGCACCGGGGGGTGTGGTTTCCGCAAAACACGAAAGATAATTTGGCAGTTGACTTTGAACGGAAAACCACCGAGAAGAAAAGAAACAAAGCGTTGGCAGTTGACTTGAAAGGGAAAACAAACCTGGAAACCCCTTTAAGACAAACAAAATCTGGCCATGGGTCAAAATCCAAATCGTACCCCCAGCAATCCCAAGCACTAAAATCGGAACCCTAAGATGGGTGGTGAATTCACCAATCCCAACCAAAATGGTACCATTGGTTTTGAGCCACAGCCAAATAATATGATCAACCAAAATGGGATCCCAACCAAAACCCAAAATGGGATCGGGATCCCAAAACGATTTCGACAACCACAGCCATTTCTCTCCTCCTGCGTGGCGCAGTCGGTGGCGGCACGTCGGCGCTGCGCCCGGCTGTTCTGACTCCTGTGTCGCTAGGGATCAGCGTCCAACCAACGTTCATAGAAAACTTTCAGAAACCAAAGGCTGGTATTCACCATAAAAACCGGATATCTCAAAAAATGCCCAACAAAAAACATGGGGTATTTGGAGTAGGCAATAAAAGGTGATCAGCGCCTGGAAAGCCAAAAGGTGAACAGGTCGGCTTTGAACTTTGGGCAAGTGAGGCTTGCGGGCATTGAGCTTCAGAGGGAGTTCAAATCCAATCCAAAGCACCAATTTCGGGCTGCCGGAACAGAGCGGAAGTTCAAATCCCTCAAAACGCCAATCCAAATCACCCAATACGGGGGCTACCTGAAAAGAGGATGTTGATCTAATTAAGGGGAAAATATATGGCAGTGGGTCAAAAATAGGTGACATGTGACATCCCAGCGTAGTCAAACGAACTCCGCAGAATTCCCGCCGAAAGTCTTGCCCACATGAGCCATCGAACATGCTTTTCCAGACATGAGGGCTAGACCCATGTCCCTCTCTTGACTGGCAGTGAGTGCCTCGAGCCCTTTTAACTCTTCATATCTTCTCTCACTGTCGCATCCGGATCCGAACCCACCCCCCGAAGAACCTGGAGTTCTTCGTGGAAGCGACGGGGAGTTGCGGCTTGCCGTCGGGGGTGACACCTCGGTGCGCAGGGAGGCCAATCTGGGGAGGAAAGCAAGCGGGTAGATTCAGAATGTCATGGCTAAGGAAGAAAGATATTAGGACGCGAAGCGCGCCGCGCCGCGGCTGAAACGGCAAACTGCGAGCGGTCACAAGCAAGGGGTTGCAGATTGCTTCTTGTTTCGATTCATTCATCGAGGTTCAGATGACAGTAGTACTCTGACTTAAGCACGACTCTCCCTGCTCCCTCATTCCACCACGCATTTTGGTTTCTTCGCTTTCGACATTCAGCAAATCCACGTCAAATCCACATCAAGCCTTGTCCAGCAAAGTCGGCATTGCATTCCAGGAACAGATTCCCCTGTGTCAACTGGGGAGGGGAGATGGGACAAGCCGCTTAGCTCGATTTAAACCCCTGATTCTTGCAAATAATAATAAATGGGAAACTGTCCACCAAACCAGGCTCCACCCTTTTTGAGGGAAGCTGAGGAACTGCTGTTACATCTTTTTCTAGAGAACGAACCGTTTGGATGCGCTTTTCGTAAATTTTACATACATAAATGTTCTGACCCTGCGGGATTCGTTTTTAGTGCTCTTTTAGTACTCCTTTCATATCCAGGGCTGGGTGTGGGTCAAAAATAGGTACCCAAAATGGAACCCTGGTAAATGGAACCAAGGACTAAACCCTGTGGTCCCCTGTAATTTTGACCCATACCCGGGCGGTCAGATGCGCCACATCAAAAATCACGACCTTCTCGAGGCTCCCGCCCTCGAAGCTCACCTGCCGAAGGGCTCAAGGTCAAGTCGGGTCTCCCGCTTTTGAAGGATTCGGACCCGCGCACATGGCGCAACCGTCTTTGCCTTTTGGTTTCTCTGCTAAAACCAAATAGGAAACACTTTTTGCATAGTTGAGGGAAACCAACCAGCTCCATTGTCCCTAATTCTGAGAAACGCCCCTGAGAAAAAGTAGATGTGTTTCGAGATATTCGGGAACGTGGCATCAGCATGCCCAAAGAAATCAGCACTCATCTACACAAACATATACACATACTTATACATATCATACACATACCTACACATAAACCCATACATATTTCCGTACACATACACATACATAAACATGTTGTTAAAAATGCACACACACACACACACCGCTTGCCAGGCCTTGCCGGGGCAAATGGGAGCAGAGTCAGCCTCAGGCAGGTCGAGAAGGCTTCGCGAAGGCGTTTCACGCCCAGAGGACCCGGAATCAAAGAAATGCGGTCGCCTCGAACCTGGGCTCTGGACCAAAATGGGAAAGATCCCCCAAGGCTTTCGAGCGAGAAATTTGGGCGCCATGGAAAAAGGATTAAAAAAAAAGAACAAGAAAAAAACACCCACTGCACCCCAAACAACTCGGCCACGGGCACCCTCCATCGGGAATTCGATCAATTCGATCCTGGGTCCTGACTCAGAAAGCCAGAGACGCGGTTGCTACCACGGCTGTCCGACTGGGGTCATTACTTGGGTGTTCGAATCGCCAAGTTAGTAAGCTGGCATCGTAGGATATAGCCCACTTTTAAGTTCCCCTAAGCGGGGTTAGCAACTTGAATAAATACAAATGGCTAACCACTTACTTACTAACTTGGCGAATCAAACATCCAAGTATGTTGACCATCCTTCTTTGACCTAGCACTTGGCTGACTTTGATGCTGATAGGAGAATGGGGCCAGTGAGCTAATGTTGACCCCCCATTAATCAACCCCGGCTTATAAATAGGGGGGTGTTCCCCTCAAAAAGTGGTCTGATTCCCCCCACATTCCACCCGGTTGGACACCGATTAATATGGAGTCAACCTTACACCCCAGGATCACCTTCACAGCGATCCCAGAAAGCTTCCCGCAAAACTGTGATTCTCTCAACATGGCCAAGATGCAGGTCATTATGAACATGGAACCTGACGCTCGGGGTCCCTTTAAAAGGAAAATGGTCCAAACCAGGACCTCCCGAAACGTCAAATTCCATGTTAACTGGTGGGAGGGTATGTCTTTCATTAACCGGCAAACAGCTGGTGTACTCACGCCTGACGGCTGGGCTTTTAAAAGGAGCTTCCTCGGAACCGGGACAGGATACAACATCGCGGGTATCGTCATTGCATTCAGTGGGCACTGATGTATTTCTTTCCTGAGGATACCAAACCCAAAGGAAACCGCCATCAGAGTCCAAATCCCTGACACGGTGTTGCTGCATGTCGCAAACGGAAGGCCGCAAACTGCGTCCTGTGAAGGAAATGTGCAGCGAATCGCCTAAGCGCAGGTCTCAAGCTCAAGGCAGGTCACTCGATTTGCATCAGGGATCACAAAAGCATTGGCCCCCGCTTTGGGGGTTGCCCAAAAAGCCTAAAAGGTCCCCGCATTTTGGAGACGTTCACTTTCCGCTCATTCACGGCATGCCATGAAGAAAAGTCCCCTTTTCAGCATCTGATTGACGAGCGTAGCGACCGTTCGAAGTGATTCACTGCCAGGGCCCGTGACGTCGCTCGGACGTCGCTCGGACCCCTGGAGGGCTTGGATGCCGAACTCACTCGAGCCAAAGACCCGGGGCGCAGACAGCTGGACGAAGCGAAAGAGATCTGTCCGTAGGAGCTTAACCCACCCATGGACGGGTCAAGCGTTACCCAAACAAGTTGTAAGCAAATTACAAGACTCTCAACTTGGAGAAGGCTCTGATAATCGGCATGCAGGACGGGTAAGCAGTAAATGGAAACCCCTGGACTCATCCCACCTAGCAAGACGGGATGAACCTTAACGCACTGAAGTAAGACGGAAACCAAAGGACCCACTAACCGAAGAACCTGTTTGGAGATGTTTGAGAACTTTTCCGGAGGAAGCGGCTAAAAATCCCTCCTGATAAAGGATGTCCAAAACACATCTTCCGGCCGCCACAAAATTGCCCAAGCGCCATTTGCATAGCTGCGAAGAGGCGACATGCACGGGAGGACGGGAAGCATGTGAGTGTGAAATGGACACCTATCTTTGTGGGAAACAAAGGGCCCCAGCATTCCCAACATCCTTTGGTACCCCCACCCCTTTGGGGGGGTTCAGTAAATCTTTGCGCGCAACCCTGGCTTTCTGCCAGAAAAACACGCATCCAAAATATGCCGCTGCTGTGCATCGAGAATTTGTGTGGGCACACTGCGGTCCTGCGAGAGTTGCGCTTCAAACCGTAGCCTTTGGACCGAAACGCCGAGGAAAGGAAGCCTTGAGACCAAAGTCACATCGGAAAGCGCTTCTCGCGATTGGCCGAACTGTGCCCCGTGCCTTCTGGACCTCTACAATCAATATTGCAAATTCCGGGCGCAAGCGTCACTCGACCATCTCGCACCTTGACAAGATCGGAAAGCCTCACGAATTCTGCCAAGCGAATGGCAATGCCTGTCTAAACACGGCGGCTATCCAAATGGACAGCCCAATGGCTATCAGAGCGATGGCAACCGCGGCATTCCATGACCCAGACCACGCGAAATTTGTCGCGTGCCAACAAAAAAAAGGTCGCCGCCTCCTCGCCAGCAAATCTTTTGCTGCGCGGCGGAGTTTTTGTTTGTCCCCTGCAGGCGGAGCTCGCCGCCTGTGAGCTACTCAGAGAGGGAACATCTCCTCAGCCCATGCCGCAAGCCGCAGCCAGGTAGCAACAGAATCAGCGTGGACTCGTCTCGGAATCCAAGCTTCCAAGCCGGAAGCAAGTGATCACATCCCAACAAAGCAACATTGCGACCGACAGGGAGATTCTACACCCGGATCCCCGGAAAACGACCCTCCCCCTGTCCCATTGAGCGCCCAAAACCCTTTTTCTACCGACATGGCCAAACAGACTTATACAACTAGCCCTTTCAACCCCAGGTGTCAGGTGAGTCGAACCTAACTTAAAAACTTCACCACACGTAAGCCAGCGTTTACGGGCCTTTTAAGGGGGGAAAGAAAACGTGGCGTCATTATTGTATTTTATTTTTTTGGGGGGAGAAGATCCTCCCCAAACCCAAAAAACGACGGAACTCCCCCGCCAGCCCTCCCGGGCCGCTTCGCGGCACTTCGCGCGGATCTTCGCTCCTGGCACACGTCCGGGGGCATCAGCGTGAGCACCGTCTCCTCCGTCTCCAGGCCGGCGAGCTTCAAGCCGCCGCCTGCGGAGACGGGGAAGTCACATGGCCGTGGTTGTCAAAAATACATGTTCTGACCCTCTGGGATCCGTTTTTAGTGCTCTCTTAGTGCTCCATGAATATCCAGGGGTGGTCGTGGTTGTCAAAAATTGGGTAACCCCAAAATGGAACCCTTGTAAATGGAAGCATGGACCAAAACCTGCGGTTCATCTCCTGGTGCTTTAATTTTGACCCATACCCGCCTGAGTCGCAACCCAAACCCGGTAGTAAAATGGTCGTAATCCCAGAATGCAAAGAAGTACGAAGGCGGATCTCCGCCGCTGCTTCGGCGGATATCCGCCGCTGTTTCTGGCAAGGGGATTGTCCCTAACCGATTCATCCGCCCGGGTGATTGTGGCTCACCTTGAGGGGTCTGTTCAAATGTCGTATCCGTAAAGCGGCAACCCGCTGTCCCTAAACAGACGTTTGCCGCCCAAAAGGAACACTTCCATTTGCCCAAGCCCCCTGGAAAAGCTAGAACTATTTCCAATGAGAGATTCCCTCTAAAACCACCAAGGGGAAAGAACAAACTTCAGCCCATGGAAGCCAAAGCGAACGTCTCTCGCCTTCCAAACGGAACTGGCGTGCGAAGAAGGGCGCGGCAGGCGGGGTCTTTCCACACGCCGTCGCCTGGCGAGACATGTTCGAGTCGCGGACCGGACCCGCGACGGCGGCCAAACGGCGCCAACCAAAAGTCCGAAGATGTTGATATGTCTTTTGTTTAGGGGAAATCTCTTTTGGTTGGCTTTAAAGAGAGAATACAAGGAAAGCCACACAGTGTTGTTATTTAATGTTATCCTACGTGTTTCATTATGATTATTATTACTACCGTCATCATTATCATCATCCTTATCGTTATAAGTATCATTGTTATTACTATTAACATTATTATGTTTATTACTATACTAATTATGATTCTTATTGTTTTGATCATTATTATTATTATTGTTGTCATTATTATTATCATCATTATTATTTCCGGGGGGGGGTCCTAAAAAAAGACACACGTGCAGGTAAAGCACGATCCGGAGCCGAAATCGATTTGGATTGGATCCCAGAGGTGTTGCCCAAACCTGGCCCAACCAGGACAAAGTGCGTAAGAAGGCTGTTACTTGGACCCTTCAAGCGTGCTGTTTGTCCACAGTCCTAGGCTCTGGCTGGCTCATCCGCTTCAATACATTGTCTGGCGCTGAATACCTAAGCCTGCAGCCTGCCCAAGTGGCTTGTTTCCGCGCCCGGACACCGTGAGCCAGGCTCTTGCCCGTCAGTTGGAGGCTTTTGGCTCGGTTCGAGACGAAAAAAGGCGCCAGGACCTTCATCATTGGAGGCTCGAAGGGAACAAACTTTTCAACTTTGGGGGGGGGCCTAGGAGGTGCGCAACGAGCCATTGGTGCAAGGTGTGTAAAAATGTTGTGCCATGGGATGGCTCAAGAGCCAGCCCCAAGCTCAAAAAACCAACAAGTCTTCAAAGCAACTCGGGGGGGGGGCATGCCACGGAACGAACCCCCAGCCTGCGGCAGATCCCAGGGCTCGCCATGCTGGTAGAATAGCTTGCCCTGCGCGCGGCCCATGGACTTCTCGAAATGAGGCAAGGAGAAAAGTCGCTCCGTGTCGTTGCATGCCGTTGCATGCCGTTGCATGCCGTTGCGACACCAACTAAATGCCTGAATGAGTGTCAAAACTCCGGAACCCCAGTACGCACCGTGCCGTTGCAGCTCCGCCTGCTGGGACCCGACCCCACGCCGACGGATTGGCCAAATCCATCGGGTGTCCACTCGCTTGGCCAGGCGCATGCGCGCCTCGATGAACTTGTTGTAAGCAAAACAGCTGCTCCAGTTCTCCTGGCAGACGCCGAAGCTTCCCCCCCCTCAGGCTTTGGGGCCCCTTTGGCCGCCCCCTTTGGCAGAATCTGTGGCCCAAAACCCCTTCCAAAGGAGCAAAGCAAGCAAGCCATCGCTTTCTTTTCAAGAATCGTGGATTGGGGCCTGAATCCAGATGAGAAATCGTCAAAACTCATGTTTCATCATGTTTCCTATCACATGAGAAGTGGTGAGTCGCACTGACAAGAAAGTTCATGGCCACTCAATGGTCCATTCATATCCTTCTCAGAATCTGGGATTGGTATGATCAGAATTCAATAAACATGTTTGCCAATTCAATCTTGTCCATTGATCAGCCAGGCCACATGGTTTGAGTCTTTGGGATTCATGTTCAAACTTCAGGCTGTACCAGAGCCAGCCAGTCTTACTAACTGTATTCCATGTCCTCCTTTAAACAAGGAATGCCGAATACCTTTCAAGCAGCATCAACTTTCAACTGGTCCTCCTAGTTTCTGCCATTTCTTGGTTTACCCCTGGCCTAGGCCCTGAACCCATTCCTTTGGAATCCAAACGAGCCACTGAGTTACAGTCCTTGAAACCAAACCAACAAAAAAAAACGGTCGAAGACCCGGACCCAAACCTTCGCGGAGCTCGCTCGAGAGCTCGCGCCTGCCACACCAGGAACAGCAGCATCCGGCAGCGGCCAGACCTCTCAATCGTCTCTTGAATGAAGGCGCGGCCGGACTCGTCCACCCCGAACTCGAAAGCCCCGTCCTCGCCGCTCCGCGAGCGAAATCGCAGGCTCAAAACTCCCGGTTGGCAAATGAAATAATCGGACGACTCAACCAAAACGGGGTGGAATTGTGCGTTTCACAACCGTATCTTCCCAAAGGCTTCCAAAAGGCCTTTGATAGATACATGCTGTTTGCCCACCCAGGGAAAAAAAAATCAAACCGAAACCAGGGCCTCCCCTCATTGCTTGTGTTCCAAACTCACCCTCATGATGCTCACCAAGCGGATTCTGATGCCCCACACCTCCAGCCACGGGAGAGGGTCTACCTCCACCCCCTTTTTTGGTGCTCTGGGTTTGAGAGGGAAACAACCATTCCCCTCGCAGGAAAAACATCGGAACTGGGAGGCCTTCCGTGTGCGGACCGCGCCTTGCTGCCGCTGAACATGTCCGACAAAGGCTGGTAGAGCGCTTTCGACTTGGAGGCATAGTTTCTGTGGGCGCCCTGGCACATGCCCCCGAATCAAATGTGTCATGATTGGGTGGAAGTGGGTTGTGTGGGTGTGTCACATTTCAGGGGTCACCCGGGACAGAGGTTTCCTAAAATAAAACTTGAAAAGGCCCTGGTCCACTTCCATGATTGCAAAAAGGAAGCTCTCTGGACTCCACACTGACATTCCAAAGGAGTTGTTTTGACCTGTCCCTTAGGAAAGATATAAAGAGCAACATCTGCCTCTTTGTGCAAGTCCAGGGTCTGGGTCTCCAGCTTGGTCGGATCATCTGCCTCACGAACATGAACCCTGCCGAATGTTGAAAGCCGCATCCAAAACACCAAGCACCCAAACCCGGAAAATATACATATATATATATATATACACAAACGCGGTTGCAACGGTTTATCTCCGCGTCGAGGAATGATTCCAGCTAAACCAGGAAGCCAGAACTGTCGTCCTTACAGAACTCCGATCAATAGCTGAGCCGCTCCCTCTTTGAAAGCAAACTTGGATACCGGGTCCCAGTTCGTCCGGCTCCCCAACCACCTAGGGAACCCCCTAAGATGCCCAAGGAAGGTTTCTGGGACGTGCACAGGCCGAAGCTGGTGAGGCCTTCCAAGGCATCGCACCAAACGGCTCATAAGCTCAGGTGACTAAAACGACCAGGTAGTCCATGCCTGGCCCCATGCCACCCTTCTTATAAAAGTAAAAGCTGTGCAAACTCTGGATCAATCAATCCCCAGGGAAAAAGAAAAACATCGACGCACTTTCAGTCAGGCCCTCTGGAGCCTGGTGGTTTAGGATTCGAGCGGGTCGGCGAGTTCAAGAAACCCAAAATGGGAACATCCCTCGCTCGACCGCCAACACCAACCGCATTTCGCAGTTCCGATGGCTGGAGTTCTCGCGCCGGCGCCTGAGGCTTCACCCACCAGAAATCCACGCCCCCACTGACCTGGCAGATTCGGAGATGCCCCTCCAAGGCGGTAGACCAAGGAAGGTCAAATACAACTGACAAAAACACCAAAAACATACCAAAAAAACAGCCATAAAGGGGAAACAAACACCCAAAACACGGAAAACTGAAGCATGTCAGAGCCCAATCCAGAGCCGCCCCTTTGGCATGTTCCTCACCAAAGGTTTCCCCAGCATACCATGCGTTCAGCAATTCGTCAGCTCCCCGGCCTGGCAAAACAGCATGGCCTGCATGTCGCACAGGGTATTCGGACACACGCCTGGCGCAATCAGGGCGGAAAGCGAGAGAGAGAGAGAGAGAGAAAACAAAAAAGAACGAAAGAAAGAAAGATAGATAGAGAGATAGATGGGAAAACGGATGGGGAATGGATAGAAAACGGAAACACGGAGAAGCTGTCGAAGAAAAAAAGAGGAGAGAAAGGAGCAAGAGAAACCAAAGAAGGAAAAAGGGAGAAACCAAAGAGGCAAACAAAGAATCTGGTTTGTCTCAAAACAGGAACCCAAAAAAAAGCCACTGTTCCATTGGTTTCCCCATTAAAGTCATCCAAAAAGGGGTCCACTCCTTGTGAGCTAGAAACAGAAGGCAAATGCGGACGGTGCCCTATGTGAGGACCTGCTTCAAGCACACTTTCAGAGACGGGTAGCATCACCCAAATTTAAACGAGTCCGTGTTTTAGGTGGTTTTAATTTGAGGGCCCTAATCAAAGACAGACTCAAATGAAACGAGCGAAAGTCAAACGCTATAAACTGCGCGCCCAAGAGGCCATGCTGGGTGTGCAATCAAACCTGCTTACAGCACTTGCTGAATGCAAATGACAATGTGGAAACCCACATATCGGAAATAAAAACGCAGCCCACCCGCAAATGGGATCGACATCCGCAGCACAGCCAAAGCAATGCGGCCACCTGTCTTGCTCGCTTCGGCAATGGGCAAACACACGCGGTTCACACAAAAACAATGGCCGGGGTTCACCTCCATCTCGGCTGCATGTATGTCTATCCGTCTATCCCTTCGCCAAGAGTTTGCGTGCATGCATTCTCATGCACGCGCGGGTTTGCCACTCCACGGGCTCCGCCTGCCACCGCGAAGAGCGGAGTCGCCCGCTCGCCCGTTTCCCGGATGCCGGAGCCGCCCTGAGCGAAGCGAAGCCAAAGGAAGTGGCGCTTGTCCATGGCTCTCAAATGGCCATGGCTCAAAATCCAAATCGTACCCCCAGTGAGCATCAACCAATCCAACCACTAAAATAGACTAAAACGGGTGGTGCACCAACCCAAAAATGATACCATTGGTTTTTACCCACAGCCACATGGCTCTCAAATGACCAACATGGCTCTCAACTGGGGCTGCACTTCTCAACTGAAATTGGCCTGCTTCACTTAAACGCACCATCCGCGCATGTTGACCATGTAACCAGAAGCTCAAGGCGGAAACAAATGGACGATCCTCCTTGGAAAATCGGTCGCACCCAAAAACCAAACCCATGAGAAAGGCTTTGTCATCCAGGGTTCTCATTGCACGCTTGACGTGCAACCCGACCATGCGATTGACAAGTGCACTACAAGTGCCATGCGTCCCCTTCAACCATCCTTAAACATCACTCTTGCGCTTTCGCCAAACATGACTGCCTACCCGTTGAAGAGGTGGCTCCCTGAGTTCAGTTCTGTCTCGGGTACCAAGAGCACAGTGCTCAAATTGGTCGCATGGCCTGGTTCTTGCCCTCCACGATCATCCTCAATAGATCCTCCAGCCATCGGAACTGCGAAATGCGGTTGGTGTTCCTGGCGGTCGAGCGCTGAGGGATGAACCACATTTCAGCTTCCCTGAAATTGGTGGTTTGGTGGCAAAGGAGGGGTTTCCCATTTACTCTACAAAAGCCAGGGACCCGTTCACATCCCAAACCACCAATCCAAACCACGAATTAGGGGTTACCTGCCCATTGACAAGGAGAAGATGCAACGAAACCTTGGCTTCCAGTGCGCTTTCCACACATTTTTCTACGGACCAAAAAGGGAGCCTCTCCCTTGCACAAAGCGCCGGCTTTGCTGTGGGACACCGAAAACAAGAGGAACAAAGGACCTCCAGTTCTGCTCGAGCGTCTTCTCCATCGCCAAGCCAACAAGCGAAAGAACGGCATGAAGAAGTGTGTGACAGTGGTTAACTTTTCTCTACATGCGCTACGGCGGATATTTACTGCATGGTTGAATGCGTGCGTGCGTGCGTGCGTGCGTGCGTGCGTGCGTGCGTGCGTGCGTGCGTGCGTGCGTGCGTGCGTGCGTGCGTGCGTGCGTGCGTGCGTGCGTGCGTGCGTGCGTGCGTGCGTGCGTGCGTGCGTGCGTGCGTGCGTGCGTGCGTGCGTGCGTGCGTGCGTGCGTGCGTGCGTGCGTGCGTGCGTGCGTGCGTGCGTGCGTGCGTGCGTGCGTGCGTGCGTGCGTGCGTGCGTGCGTGCGTGCGTGCGTGCGTGCGTGCGTGCGTGCGTGCGTGCGTGCGTGCGTGCGTGCGTGCGTGCGTGCGTGCGTGCGTGCGTGCGTGCGTGCGTGCGTGCGTGCGTGCGTGCGTGCGTGCGTGCGTGCGTGCGTGCGTGCGTGCGTGCGTGCGTGCGTGCGTGCGTGCGTGCGTGCGTGCGTGCGTGCGTGCGTGCGTGCGTGCGTGCGTGCGTGCGTGCGTGCGTGCGTGCGTGCGTGCGTGCGTGCGTGCGTGCGTGCGTGCGTGCGTGCGTGCGTGCGTGCGTGCGTGCGTGCGTGCGTGCGTGCGTGCGTGCGTGCGTGCGTGCGTGCGTGCGTGCGTGCGTGCGTGCGTGCGTGCGTGCGTGCGTGCGTGCGTGCGTGCGTGCGTGCGTGCGTGCGTGCGTGCGTGCGTGCGTGCGTGCGTGCGTGCGTGCGTGCGTGCGTGCGTGCGTGCGTGCGTGCGTGCGTGCGTGCGTGCGTGGTGCGTGGGTGCGTGCGTGCGTGCGTGCGTGCGTGCGTGCGTGCGTGCGTGCGTGCGTGCGTGCGTGCGTGCGTGCGTGCGTGCGTGCGTGCGTGCGTGCGTGCGTGCGTGCGTGCGTTGCGTTGCGTTGCGTTGCGTTGCGTTGCGTTGCGTTGCGTTGCGTGCGTGCGTGCGTGCGTGCGTTGCGGCGTGCGGTGCGTGCGTGCGTGCGTGCAGTGCGTGCGTGCAGTGCGTGCGTGCAGTGCGTGCGTGCAGTGCGTGCGTGCAGTGCGTGCAGTGCGTGCAGTGCGTGCGTGCGTGCGTGCGTGCGTGCGTGCGTGCGTGCGTGCGTGCGTGCGTGCGTGCGTGCTTGCGTGCGTGCGTGCAGTGCGTGCGTGTCGTGCGTGCGTGCGTGCGTGCGTGCGTGCGTGCGTGCGTTCGTGCGTGCGTGCCGTGCGTTGCGTTCGTGCGTGCGTGCGTGCGTGCGTGCGTGCGTGCGTGCGTGCTGCGTGCGTGCGTGCGTGCGTGCGTTGCGTGCGGTGCGTGCGTGCGTGCGTGCGTGCGTCGTGCGTGCGTGCGTGCGTGCGTGCGTCTGCGTGCGGTGCGTGCGTTCGCTGCGTGCGTGCGTCGTGCTGCGTGCGTGCTGCGTGCGTGCGTCGTGCGTGCGTGCGTGCGTGCGTGCGTGCGTGCGTGCGTGCGTGCGTGCGTGCGTGCGTAGCGTCGGCGGCGGGCGGGCGGCGGGCGGGCGGGCGGCGGGCGGGCGGGCGGGCGTGCGGCGGGCGGGCGGGCGGGCGGGCGGGCGGGCGGCGGGCGGCGGGCGGCGGGCGGGCGGCGGGCGGCGGAGCGGCGGGCGGGCGGCGGGAGGGCGGGCGGAGCAGGCGGCGGGCGGGCCGGCGGCGGCGGCGGCGGGCGGGCGGCGGGCGGGCGGGCGGGCGGGCGGCGGGCGGGCGGGCGGCGGCGGGCGGCGTCGCGCGGGGCCGGCGGGCGGGGCGGCGGAGCGGGCGCAGCGGGCGGGCGGCGGCGGGCGGGCGGCGGGGCGGGCGGGCGGGCGGCGGGGCGGGCGGGCGGGCGGGCGGGCGGGGCGGGCGGGCGGAGCGGGCGGGCGGGCGGGCGGCGGGCGGGCGGGGGCGGGCGGGCGGGCGGACGGGCGGCGGGCGCGGGGCGGGCGGGCGGCGGGCGGCGGGCGGGCGGGCGGGCCGGCGCGGTCGGGCGGGCGGGCGGGCGGGCGGGCGGCGGGCGGCGGCGGCGGTGCGGGGGCGGGCGGCGGGGCGGCGGGCGGGCGGCGGCGGGCGGGCGAGCGGGGCGGGCGGGCAGGGCGGGCGGGCGGGCGGCGGGCGGCGGGGCGGGCGGCGGGCGGGCGGCGCGGCCGGGCGGGGGGCGGGCGGGGAGGCGGCGGGCGGGCGGGCGCGGGGCGGGCGGGCGGACAGCCCATGTCGCGCGCCGCCCGCAACGACCAACCCAAAAATCACATATTTTTGTTTGCGACGTACTCCGGATGAATCCGAGCTCCATAGATCGTTTTTTTGGGCCCGGGCCGGGGGCCGGGCCGGGGGGGCTCCCGGCCCCCCCGCCCCCCCTCGGCCCCCCGGCCCCCGGGGGCGGCCGGGGGGCTCGGGGCCGGGGGGGGGCGGACCGGGAAGGTAAGCCGGGCCCGGCCCCCGGGCCCTGTGCGTGAATCATAGCTTCTCTTGCTCGACGTTTCGTTTCGCTGCGCAGGCGCAGTGTTTCGTGAAGCTTCACGTTTGCATTGCAAATGCAGTGGGGCTCGCGTTTCCCGGGGTCTCGTTTTGAGGTGTTTTGCTTGGAATGCTCGCGCAAGCGTTTGCTGGAGTGTTGTTTTCGTTGACCCCTGGGGGTGCCGGGGGGCGGGGGGCCGAGGGGCCCGGGGGGGGGGCGGGGGCCCTGGGGGCGGCACCGGCCCGGGCCCCGGGCCCCTGCCGCCCACCCACACCACCGCCCCCCGCCCAACCGCCCCCCGCCCCCCCCCGGTCCCCCTCAAACCCCGCGGACCTCCGCGCCGCCCCAGCCCCGCCCCTCGCCTGCCCGGCGCCTTACGCGCCCGCCTCCGGGGCCCCCCCCGGCGCGCCCGGGCTTCCCCGGGCCCGGGGCCGAGGGCCGAGGTGGCGTGGCTGAGCGTGGCGTGGGCTGGCGTGGCCGTGCGTGGCGTGCGTGCGCGTGGCGTGGCGTGGCGTGGCGTGGCGTGGCGTGGCGTGGCGTGGCGGGGCGGGGCGGGGCGTGGCGTGGCGTGGCGTGGCGTGCGTGCGGGCGGGCGGCGGCGCGGGCGGGCGGGCGAGCGGGCGGGGGGCCGGGCGGGGGCGGGGCCGGGCGCGCGTGCGTGCGTGCGTGCGGTGTCTGTCTCTCTGTGTCTCTGTGTCTCTGTGTCTCTGTGTCTCTGTGTCTCTGTGTCTCTGTGTCTCTGTGTCTCTGTGTCTCTGTGTCTCTGTGTCTCTGTGTCTCTGTGTCTCTGTGTCTCTGTGTCTCTGTGTCTCTGTGTCTCTGTGTCTCTGTGTCTCTGTGTCTCTGTGTCTCTGTGTCTCTGTGTCTCTGTGTCTCTGTGTCTCTGTGTCTCTGTGTCTCTGTGTCTCTGTGTCTCTGTGTCTCTGTGTCTCTGTGTCTCTGTGTCTCTGTGTCTCTGTGTCTCTGTGTCTCTGTGTCTCTGTGTCTCTGTGTCTCTGTGTCTCTGTGTCTCTGTGTCTCTGTGTGTCTGTGTGTCTGTGTGTCTGTGTGTCTGTGTGTCTGTGTGTCTGTGTGTCTGTGTGTCTGTGTGTCTGTGTGTCTGTGTGTCTGTGTGTCTGTGTGTCTGTGTGTCTGTGTGTCTGTGTGTCTGTGTGTCTGTGTGTCTGTGTGTCTGTGTGTCTGTGTGTCTGCGCGTCTGCGCGTCTGCGCGTCTGCGCGTCTGCGCGTCTGCGCGTCTGCGTGTCTGTGTGTGTGTGTGTCTGTGTGTCTATGCGTCTGTGCGTCTGTGCGTCTGTGCGTCTGTGCGTCTGTGCGTCTGTGGGTCTGTGTGTCTGGGTTTCTGTGTGTCTGTGTGTCTGAGTGGCTGTGCTGTGTGTGTGTTTGTGTCTGTGTGTGCGTGTTTGTGTAGGTGTTTTTGTGTGTGTGTGTGTGTGTGTTTGTGTGTGTGTGTTTGTGTGTGTCTGTGTTTGTGTGTGTATTTGTGTGTTTGTGTGTGTGTGTTTGTGTGTGTACTTGTGTGTTTGTGTGTGTGTGTGTTTGTGTGTTTGTTTGTGTGTATTTGTGTGTGTTTGTGTGTGTGTGTGTGTTTGTGTGTTTGTGTGTGTGGTTGTGTGTTTGTGTGTTTGTGTGTTTGTGTGTGTGTGTAGGTGTGCTTGTGTGTTTCTGTGTTTTTGTGTTTGTGTTTGTGTGTTTGTGTGCTTGTGTGCTTGTGTGTTTGTGTGTGTGTTTGCGTGTTTGTGTGTTTGTGTGTTTGTGTGTTTGTGTGTTTGTGTGTGTAGGTGTGTTTGTGTGTTTGTGTGTTTGTGTGGTTGCGTGTTTGCGTGTTTGCGTGTCTGCATGTTTGAGTGTTTGCCTGTTTGCGTGTTTGAGTGTTTGCTTGTTTGCGCGTTTGCGTGTTTGCGTGTTTGCGTGTTTGCGTGCTTGCGTGCTTGCGTGCTTGCGTGCTTGCGTGTTTGCGCGTTTGCGTGTTTGTTTGTTTGTTCGTTTTTTTTTGTGTTTGCGTGTTTGCGTGTTTGTGCGTTTGTGTGGTTGTGTGTGTGTTTGCTTGCTTGTGTGTTTGTCTGTTTGTGTGTTTGTGTGTTTGTGTGTTTGTGTGTATTCAATGTATGTATGTATGTATGTATGTATGTATGTATGTATGTATGTATGTATGTATGTATGTATGTATGTATGAGTATGTATGTATGTATGGATGGATGGATGGATGGATGGATGGATGGATGGATGGATGGATGGATGGATGGATGGATGGATGGATGGATGGATGGATGGATGGATGGATGGATGGACGGATGGATGGATGTGTGTGTGTGTGTGTTTATGTATGTGTGTATGTCTGCATGTATGTATGTATGCATGTATGTATGTATGTACGTATGTACGTATGTACGTGTGTTAGTTATGCCTGCTATGCATGGTACGTGTGTTGTGTGTGTGTGTGTGGTGAATATATTTATGTAAGCAGTGTGTGTTATGCATGTTAATGCCGTGTATGGTATTGGTGTAAAGTGTGTAACGTACATATAACATATGTAAGATATGCAACACATATATACTGTATGTCATGTATACTTGGTTGCTGTTGACCCCCTGCAAACAGGTTGACTCTTTCTGGGTCCCATGGACAAATGCATGAGTTTCCAAAAAAAGTTGGAGTCAACCAAACAGCCACATGGTATACATGCTATGTATGTTATGTATGTTATGTATGTTATGTATGTTATGTATGTTATGTATGTTATGTATGTTATGTATGTTGTGTATGGTGTGCTTGGTTTACATGTTGTGTGTGTGTGTGTGCAATATATATATATATATATATAGATATATATATATATACATTATGTGTGCTATGTATGGCATGTGTGTGTGTGTGTCATGCGTGTAGCGTGTGTCATGTATGTTAAGTTAAGTTATGTTATGGTATGTTGTGTTGTGGTGTGTTACGTTATGGTACGTTACGTTATGTTATGCTATGCATGTATGTATGAATGTATGTATGTATGTATGTACGTACGTATGTATGTATTCACGAATGGTATGAATGTATCTAGCCATGCATGGTGAGCCATACCCAAACCCATGTGGGTGACGCATTCGTAAAAGGGCCCAAAGAATTTCAGGCCCAACAGAAGAAACCGCCAAGTGATGTCAAGGACGTAGTAGTCTGAAGGACCCTCGTCTTTTAGCTTGTTGTTCTCCCTTTGCAGGGTGTGGAAGCTTGGGGCAAATCGAGGGATCTCACGGTCGCACCTCTTGTCATCTCTTTTTCCCCAACAGCTGAAAGCTCTGGGGTCTTTGCCCAAATAGGCTCTGGGGAGGTTTGGGGCAGCTTTCAGGAAGGGTTCCGGAGATTTGGTTCCAGGGGTGGGGCGGTTGGGGATACACTTGGGCGTATTAGGAAAGGCAGGACTTAGGTTGAGACATGTGAGCGACTGCCGTTTACAGAAGACTACGGTTAGGGCCAGGGCGGACACATAATTTGGGGCGGTGCAAAAGGAGGCAGGAACAGCTCCAAACCACAACGAAATCAAAGGGGGGGGAATATACCCGCCATTTTTCCCCTAAGGATTGTCAGCATCCAACTTAGTTAACCAGAGTGCACGCTATAACAAGACACGCGGGTAACCCCCTCTTCCAGCATAACTGGATGTCCCGCTCCCGATGTTTCAATCCCAAAAACCGGTCGGATCCCGGTCCCGCCTGGGGGGCAGCCGCTTCCGGGACATCAGCGGCTGCTCGGCTTGGACCACCTGCGAATCACCAGGGAAGGACCGTCCGGTGTTGGGAATGAACCGGTTTTGCGGAGTCCCTTAAAGCCTTGAAGGAAACCATAGAAAATGGATGGTGGTTTTTTTCTTGAGAGGGAGCATTCCATTTCTCAATCCCTGCTGTGAACCACCAAGCTTCGGTTGATTGTTTCCGGGGGGTATCAATGTCAGAACTGGGGTGATTTCCCCTTTTTTGGCAACCACTTAGGGGGTGACTTTGACAATGGTAAACAATGGGATCAGCAAAACAAAGGAAAGTAGGGGACTCGATTTGCCGAGGATTTCCCACTTCTGATCGGTTCTCGTGAAGAGATCTGCTTGATGCTGGCAAAGGCTGTAGTTTTCTGAGTCTGTCTTTCCAAGGTAGCAAAACAGCTGTTTGGTTTTTTGGCAGCCCCGTATTTAACATGAACAGAACCTAAAAACATGCCAACAACAGTGAAGTCGTAGAGCCCTTTTCTCCAACCTCCCGACCCTCATTGCATCCTCAAGCGCAGCTCATTTGGCGGGAGCCCCTTCCAAAGCACTTCTTCAAGACCTGCCAACGACAGCCAGTAGTACGCGCCTTGCGCATTGTCACATCGAAGTGCAAATGAGCAAAACGAATCAGTTCGGTTGAGTAGCATATTCGCGGGGTGATGTCCGAAGCTATCAGCCATCTACCACCGGAACCGAGGCCTTGTTGGCTCAAGCAGCGCCACAAATAAGAACAGAAACAGCAACCCTCCATAATGCATCCACGGCGCATGAAAACCTGAGCTCAATGCGGTTCACAAGATGCAACTCTGTCGATTGGAACTTCGGTCGTGCGCAGCACACGAAATTGACATGCGTTCTGCATCGCCCAGCACCTGTTACTGACAAACGCCTAAAAAACATCTGCCCTCCACCAAAGCTGGGTAAAAGCAGGACAGGGTGGACAAATGATCAAATGGGGGGTTTCTCAAAAGAGTGCTCCCTAAAAATGGTGGCAGTCCGTTCGTTTGCCCTTAAACACCAACCAAAAGGGGGGTCCACAATTTTGGGAGGCTGCGGAAAGCGGCTGAAAGGTTGCTGTCCAGGCACAGGTCCACCGAAGCCGCTTCCCCATGTCGCCGCTGGCATAGCACCATGCCATAAACTCCTGCCGAATCCACGCGCGAAGCGGACGCATGGCTGTGGTTATTGTTTTGAGGGAACTTCCTGGTTGAAGAAACACAAGCCCACATGGCGCCGACGTGGATCAATCCTGGGGGAAGACTTTGCGCTCGGAACCTCGAAGTGTCTATAGCCACTCCAAACTGAAGCCCCCAAACCGGAACCCAACCGCTCCGCCCAAGATTGTTCTCCTGTGGGCTATTGTGCGGCGACAATAAACATACTTCTGCGCCAACTTTGTGTGCCAGCACTGGCTATGATGATACGCCAACAAGGATCATTTTTGTGCGCTGACGGCGGACATGCTTATGCGCCAGCAAGGAATTGTTGGTCGCCGACAATGTGCCTCTTGGGGAACCTGGATCCTTTGCATTTCAGGAGAGGTTAGAGCAGGGGAGGCTTGGGTCTTGTTTTGGTACGTTTTCCCTTGTTTGGGTGTGGTTTTTAAGGGAGGAAAGCCAACCGTTTTGGGGGGTCCCCTGAAAAGGACACACCTGCTTGTTTTGGCTACTGTAGTATAGAATTGGGGCTCGGCTGAGGCTACAAAATGGGGCAGTTATGGTTTTTTGGTGGGTCTCAGAGCCGACGTTCCCACCACAAAATGACTTCTTGGATGTTAGGCCAGATCCCCAGCTTCAAGTTGCAGCATTTTGCAGAGAAAAGAAGTGCACCCGCGGCCCAGCTTCTCGATATGGCCAGGGAAAACAAGAGACATGTCGCCTCTAATGATGGCATCTTTCTGAACCCATGCGGTCAAAAACGGTGCAGTAACCCCCTATTCTCTACAGAAAACCCTTACATTATACACCACATTGCCTTGTAAATGGTGGTGTCCCTGTATTTCGGTGGAAAAAGCCATGTTTCACATGGGCAAAATGTATCTTTTAAGGAGCCCTGCTCTATTTTACAGAATAGAAGCTTGTAGAGGTCAACCTCAGAAATGCACAGGTGGATGAATCTGGTGCAAAGCCAAACCAGCAAATTCCTCTATACAGTAAACGGCCTGAGCACGCAAATAGCTGTTCGAAAGGAGCACCAAAGGGCCAGGCTTGTCACCAAATGCCGAGCATTTCCCACACCACCCACCCCCTCCAGCCAGCCCCCCCACCCCCTCCCTCACCCCCACCCCCCACCCACACCCCAGGGATTGTGAATCAACGGGTCCCACCCGCCTCTAGCTGAATGAAACCATCCCCGTTGGTGTCGATGCCGTGCAGAAGCTCTTCTAGCCGCTCACCTCACCCCATCGGACGGGTGGCGTCCGGGTGGTGTGCATCATGCCCTGAAAAAAAGCAGTGGATATCATTGGCCAACAATCCAAAAGTTGTTCTAGTGATTGAAACGATGGGCCAAAACTCCTCCACGCTCAACATGTGAGGCTCGGGATTCATTTCACGAGAAACCAGACAGAAACTGCTCCGCCCTCAAAGGACAGGGCTGCGGGTCAAAAATAGGTACCCAAAATTGGAACCCAGGAAAATGGAACCAAGGACTAAAACCTGCGGTCCCCTATTGGTTTATTTTGACCCGTACCCACATGGGGTCTTTGGATTTCGACCCAACCCGGCACCACTGCCTCGGGTGTCCGAGGGATCTGAGAGCTGCTGCAAGACCGAGAGCAGCTCCTGAAGCGGACCGGTCGCAGGCTCGGGTTCTGCTTTTTGAGCTTGGCTTATTTGGGTGTGGCTCAAAATAAAACAGGAGGGGCAAACCGCAAGTTTTGGTTCATCTTCCACTTACCAGGGTTCCAGTTTGGTACAGGTTTTTTGTAGTCATTTCCGGGAAAACCGTAGGGGAACGCCATCTTTGGGAGTCCGGGTGGGAGCCGGAACCTGGGGTTCCAATGCGACACCTGAGTAATACTCAAAACCGATCGGTATTCAATTGGTCGGAATCCCAGAAATCGTGGTGAAAAAAAAAATCTCCGAAGGCGGATATCCGCACCTATGGCTGGAAGTGTCCATTAACCTTCACTTACCCGGTTTTTGAGCAAGTGGCTCACCTGGGGTCACTTGTTTGGACAGAGAGTTCTGGCTTGGACACCTGCGAACCATTTTCCCCCTTTCGTAGGGGAGAATGGACTGGCCCTTTTGAGTGTGACGCATTCGCAAGGAAGCCGATTTGGACCTGTCTTTTCTTTGGCCCTGTTTGGGAAGGAAAGTCCATCTGTCGTCGGGTCTTCTTTTAAGACACGTAGGGCTGAAAGGTGTTCAGGAGACTTGTCACCCGCACGGCTTCTCGAAGCCTGCTGGCTGCCTGATGATTGACCACTGTTTGTCAATGTCCCCTTGACGCAGGATGCACGATTTAGCCCAATTGAACTGGGACGGCAGATCGCCAGCAGAGCGACATGCCAAAGCAAAACCCATCGCGGCCCATCACATGTTGCCACCTCCGGCGGTGCCAAACAAAAACAGGGGTCACTGGATTCCCCCTTCAAAAGTTGCAATTGTGAGTTCCCATGAAGCCCCCTTTTGTAGGTCCAAGAAAGGGAAATCGACAGAGGCCTGAACAACTTGCGGGTGCTCAGGGAATGACGGAATCACCAACAAACCATCCTCTATGGTGTTCTTTCAAGGTTCATTCCCAACACCTTGGGTCATTCCCGACTACCAACACGAAAAGGCACACTGTTTCTCGGTGGATTTCAAACGGAAGCGAAAAACCTCCGCTCCTCCTGGCTGACGCAGTTGTCCCTGCAGCATGTGAGTGTGGGTAGCTTTGCGTACCATTCCAGTCATGGAAGTGAACATGTGTGGCATTTCCAGGTGGTCTTCGGAAGCCTGCTTTTTTCCATGCAATCTTGTCAGTATGGGTTCGATTCAAAAGAGGTCGACGATCGTCGCAACAGCTGTGGCATGTGCACCGTGCTTCAAAAGGCCTGCGTGGTTGAGATGGAAATGTGCTTGCGCAGAGTGGTACTAAGAACGGCTCTTTCCAACCCTTGGTATGGTAACAAACAAAACGCGCTGTGTGCAGCCCCCTTCTAAAAACGAACAAAACCAAAAAACATGCCCACAACAGTCCAGGGGTTCAATGCTTTCAGCGCGGATACGGGCACCCCCGCCCGTTGGCATCGAACTTCTGGAAGAGTCGGATGATTTGCTCCTCCTGCGTGAGCACAAGTTGCCAAGTGAGCAGGCTGTGGCTCAAAAAACCGGTACCAACATGGAACCCTATTAAGTGGAAACATGAACCAAAACCTGCGTAACCCCTCCTGTTTTATTTTGAGCCACACCCAGCAAGCGACGAGCAACAAACACCAGTGAGCACCGTCCTCAACTAAATCGCGGAACCGAAAGCCTGCCAGAATCCTACAGAATGCTCCCAAGACGACCTTGCCAACCCTCTAACACCAATCTTGCCTTTTTCGCTCCCTCACCAAAAGTGCTCTGTCAATCGCCCCCCCACCCCCCACGTCCTTGCCAACCCTCATGTCCAAACCCCCCCCCAGCTGACATCCCCAACAGCATGAGACACATTTGCGCGGAATTCGTGGAAATTGCGGCATGCATCCCCAGAAGCGCCCCGCGAATCCCTGCAACCCTACTCGGAACTGGGCAAAGACCACTCACCGCTCACCTCCCCGCACCTGGCTCCTCCTCACATGGCTTTGTCATGTATTTGATGGTTGTGTCAAGGAGCACCAAAAAAGGAAGACCCAAACAAATAACACCACTTTGGGTCCTGGACCCGAATTCCCTTTAAAGTACAAAACAAAACTGAGAGACAAAAACACCTCCGACCTCTATCTCTCTCTCTCTCTCATGGCGAAATCGCTCGCTCGATGTCAGCATCAGATCGCTCACCACCGCCAAAAGCGCCACTTTGGGGACCCATGAGAACCCCCCAAAACAAAACGGAGACCCCCCAAAAAAAAGACGAGGCGCGTCCTCAGCCCTCTCCCACGGTCGCTCGGGTCGCTCGCCATCCGCTCCGCTCGGATCTCGGCCTCCGCTCGCGGCCCGCCTGGAAGGCCACGGTCATGCGCGTGCTGCTCCGCGCCATGGAGCTCATGGAGGCGATGGAGCCGCAGGAGCCCACCGTCAGCGCCCCCAGCCGCGCCTCGCGGTGCGGTCGAGCGGTCGGAAACCGGAGCGGTTGCGCTCCGGGACAAGAAGCGGTTGCAACGTACGGAATCTCTCAAGCTTGGAGGTCTTGGATATGCCTCCTCATTGGATGTGCTTCTTGGTTGGATGTTCTTGGTTGGATGTTCTTGGTTGGATGGATTTCTTGGTTGGAGGGGTCGGCTCTTTTCTTTGAGTCTTTGAGAGGCTTGATTGGTTGCATGCTGGATTGTTCTGCATGGTTTTGTTTGATGACGCTGTCTTTTTGGGCAACCCTTTCTTTGTGGAAGGATGGGATTGTCGAGGACCGGGATCCTTACAGTTGTACAGGGCAGATTGGAGACGGACGGAAACAAAACAAATCGCCCCGTTGCTTCACCTTGAATCTGGTCCAAACCTGCCTCGTTGTCGTAGGTCTAATCACTTTCCAGTGGAATTGGTGTTTCCCTAGAGTAGACCATCACCATTGCAGGATGCAAGTTTAAAGCAAGTTGCTTCAAGGCAACTTGCCCCCGCAAAAATGTCGGCCTCTTGCCGGCAAAAAAATATGTAAGTTCAGCCTGGCAAGGATGGCGGAGGTGGTTCCTAGGTTGGCAATTCGATGTCCCCGAAAAATATTAAGGACCCAGGGCCAAATTCTTACCTACAGCGGCTGATCGTTAGCCGCCACGCTTGTTTTTCATGCGTCTCGCCAGAGCTTGTCATTGTAGACGACGGCGCGCTGGCCTGGCAGAGCAAGTGTGTCAGCGTCTGTGCGCATATCTGTTGGTGCATGTGCGCGCGTGTGCGTGTGTGTGTGGGGGAAAGGGCACGCTAGTCAATGCGGCCTAGCTGCCCCTAACTGCAAAGCCTAGCTTTTCCCCTGTCTGCAACGCACTTCGGTGTGAGTGCTTTCCCAGCAGAGCCCAAATGCCACATTTGGTCCTTTGGGGCATTGTGGCTGCCACGTGTGGGCAGCACAGTCAGCAAGCCTTGACGGGCTTGCTGCAGTGCTAGTGCTGGGGCGTAAAGCCCTTTGGGACCTGGGACCTGGGACCGCTCACCGCTGGTGCCCAGCTGGTCAACGGCCAATCTGTCAGGTCCGTCACCGCACATTCAACAACTGTGGCTGCCTCACAAAGTCAATCATCAAAGAGTCAAAGCCGGAAGCGCTGGCCACTGCCGCTGGGATGGAATCGGAGAGCAAGTCTGTCGCACCACTTTCCAGCACCACTCTCCGCCTCGCCGAGCGCGCGCTCGCAAGCGCTGGGACATGCTGCAGCCGCCACGCAGCTCGCCAGACATGACTGCTTCCTTGGAAATGAAGCCCCAGTGCTTGCACCACTGGGAAACGGTGTGGTCATAGCCTTGCCTTTGATCTAATTGAGCCATGAGCATGGAGCCGTTGCACAGCTCAAAGACGGTGCAGCCAAACGACCACTGATCAACTGCCGGACTCAAGGACCTGGGAAGCTGGCTGTCGGACGCATGCCAGAGTTCCGGCGGGCGGTACGGCTCTGTTGCGTATTCCCGGAAGTTCGCTGTGGAGCTGTCCCCTGCAAGTGCTCCCCAGCGCTCTGCCAAGCCGAAGTCCGTGATCTTAAGCTCATCAGTGCCCTCGCTGTACAAGATGTTTCCGGGCTTCACATCCAAGTGCAGGATCTTCAAAGAGTGTAGCGTCTGGAGCCCCTTTCGCAGCTGAGCAGCTGCTGACCACAAAGCAAAGCCACGCAGTGGCCCGCTGCGCAAGACGTCTGCCAAGCTGGCCCCGCAGAATTGCAGAGCTATCCATGGAAAGGGGTCGCCCTTGGTGTCAAAGTTTCTAAGGGCTGGGAACCACCTGGCATCTTCAGCTGGCAGCTTTTGGAGTTGCTGGAAAACTTGGAGCTCCCTATCTGCATCTTCTTTGCCATGTTTGGATGTGAACAGCTTCACAGCATGCTTGCCGCCATGCACCGAAGTGCACAAACACACTTTGCCATAGGATCCACAGCCGAGCTGCACAGACATGTCAGGCTTTGACATGACCTTGAAGGGCCCGATGGCCTGCAGCAGTGGGGCGCTGACCTTTTCCGGGTCCGGCTGCGCTGCGCTGCCACCCTTTGGGCCAGCCCAAGCCCGGCGGGCAAAAATCCCATGCTCGCTCAAGGCAGCACGCTGCCTTGCCTCTTCCTGGGAGCTCATGTCTTTGAACTTCTGGCGACTGGAGGCAGGCAGTGACTTCCACTCTTGCGCCAGTCGCTTCATCTCCTGCTGAAATGCTTCTCGAGAAGCTCCCTTGCGAAGCTGTCCGTGCTCCATCATGAAGAGCGCAAAGGGCTTCCTGGCTTTCGGGGCCACGCCTTCCTTGATTGCTGCTGATCGCGCAGTAGCGCCTGAAGCCCTTGCCCTGCTTCTTTGGGCTTTGGGCTTGCGCGCAGGCTGCTGTGGACAGCTTTGGGCCTTGGGCCTTGGCCCTGGAGCAGCTGTCTTCTGTCTCAGCCTCCTCATCAGGGCCATGGCTGCAGGAAGAAGCTGAGACTATGGCTACAACTTCTAAGCAACTCTGCTCTTGGGCCCGGCAGCTGGCATGGGTGCTCTGCGAGTGCACATGGCCAGCAAGGCCTTATCAGAATGATCACTGCTGCTGCGCTTCACTCTTGCGACGCCTCCTCACTCGCAGCTGTGCAGCCATCCACAGTGCCGGATGAGCCTGGGCAGCGCCCAAGTGTCAAGGCGCAGCAGCTCTTGCAAAGCAGGCACTCCCCAGTTGCAAAGCTACGCGGCGCAAGGCAACTTCAGCACGTTTGTGCTCAGAAGGCATATTGCTGACTCTGACTCCAACTGCGCAGCTGGCTGTCGCAGCTGCGCTAACTTTGCAGAATCACTCGGCTGTCAACGGGCTTGCGCGCAAAATTGCAAGTCTTCAAGCCCCGCAGGTCTGGGGACCTTTTGGGCCTGAGACCTGCAAGTGCCAGCCCGCTGCATAGACACTCTCTGGCTTGATCAATGCCTTCAGTCGGCTGGGCTAGGTGGCTCAAAAGCATCGCCTTCATCATCTGCGCCTTCCCCGCTGCCTGCGAAGCTCTGAAGGATGCCTGAGAAGTGCTTCTTCGCTGTGGCGGCCGCCTCATCTGAGTACAGCGATGACCCCTCCACGCTCATCAAGCCGCAGGCGGCCCTGTCAGCCACTGCCGAAAGCCAATGGAGATGGTCACGATTTAGACCTGGGCCGCGCAGTGAGCAGCACTCGAGTGCATGGACGCTAGAAATGCATCTGCGCAGTGCGTGTCTGAGAGCCTGGCAAAGCCCGTGATAAAGGACTCCGCGCGTTAGGCAGGCTTCCATGAGCGCGCCGCTGCCTGCAGTGACATCAAACGCTGCTTTGATCTTGAACTCGTCCAGCACCGACAGATAGAAGCGAATCGGCTTCCCTTCCTGCCAGAAGAGTGGCACATCCGTGCCATTGCGATCCTGCCAGTCCTCTGGGGCCTGAGGGACCTCGGACCTGGCAAGGACCTTGGCTTTCTCACTGGGAGAAATGAGGGGCAGCTCTGAGCAGGCGCGAAAGCTGACTCCGCTGAAGGTTCCCTGGTAAGTAGAGGCCTCTCCACACGAAGTGAAGTTTTCCTTCTTGCATGTCTTCACCTTTGCCCTGGAGACAGGGAAGCGCACAGCAATGCTCTCGATCTTGCGCGAGCCAAGCGGAACCCGGCGTGCGCGGCCAGCTCGCGGAGGGCAGCCGCCTTCGAAAACGATGGTCGCTTCCTCGGCGTGCTCCTGGGACAGCACACGGTCTTCCTCAGTGACGGCACAGCACTGAAGCTCCGAACAAGATCTGAGGGGGGGGCAAATGACAGCCAGCTAGGCAAAAACATGCCATGTTGGAGCTAAAGGCCATGCGCCCTCCGAATCTCTCGCATGCGGCCATCAAAGAGCATCACAAAGTCTTGGCTGCCAGTGACGGATGTGGCGAAGTCAGTGACATCCTTCCACAAGTTGTCTGGCGGCTTGGTCTCTGAGGACCATGGCTCGGAGGTGTCCTCAGTCACCAGATCGGCGGCTGCGCAGATGAGACGGTGCGAAGTGTTGAGGGAGCCTGCGTGCTGGAACACTTTTCCACATGACCTCCAGGCACTTGCCAGGCCATCCTTGGTGAAAGCGCGAGGTGTGCTGAGCGTCACGAATTTTCGTCTCTCTTGCTGGACCTGCTTCCAGGCCCTCTCCCGCTCTCCATTGTCTGCTTGGCCCTGTGTCTCCTCGTGAAGCGTTGAGAGCAGGGTTGGGGCTGGTGCGGAGGCGGAGGGTGTGACAGCTTTTCCGTTGCCGCCATCAAACTGCTGCACAATGACGTTCAGCTGCTTCACAAGCTGACCGCCAGGGACGTCTTTGTCATTGCCCTCAGCCCCAAGCGATGCGGCGTCAGACAAAGCCTTCAGCAAGGTCATGGAGGGCTGCGCGGCAAGAGACTTCAAGTCCTCCTTGAACCCGCCGCCCATAGTCTGCAGCAAAAGGTCAAGAAGCATGCCGGCTGCTCGATTGAAGCTGGCCTTCTCCTCTGCCAATCTGTCACTTGTGCCTTGCGCAGGGCCTGCTTCCTCCTCCCCGCTGTCGTCCTCTCCAATGATGCCCTCCGTCTCGTTCCCAGCAGCAGGCGGCTCCAAGTACTTGGACCAGCACTTCAGAGGGTCCATCATCTCTTGCAAAGTCTTGCAGAGCTTCTCGGAGGTTGCCTCTGGGAGCTTCCCGGCAAGAATGAAGGCAAAGTCAAAAACCTGCAAGGACTTGGAAAGGACGTGACATGAAAAGCAGCAAAAAACGTGAGGCGAGCAAGCGCTCCTCTTTATCTTTGGCAGCTGCATTTGTTAGCAACTTGTGCCTGCAAGATGACCAGGCAGCAAGGCCAAAAGCCTGGGCTCCCGGATTTCCTGTCCCGGTCAAGCCACTGCTCTGTTGCTTTGGAGGGAAGCACCTGCTTACCTCGCAGCGCAAGCAGCAGCTGGTCCACCAGCCAGGCTGTCACAGTAGCCGCGGGCCTACTGGCACTGGCCCCGCTCTTCCCCAAGCTGACAAGCTTTGAAATCTTTGAATACTGATTGCTCAGCAGGTCTCGTCCGAACGCAAGGTCAATGCGACGGAAAGCAGCCTGCACGGGACAAGGCCCACTCGGCTGCAGAACAGGCAGCAAGACAGCGGCAGCTTTGTGAATGGCTGCGTTGTATGGGGCATTGTTGTACCTCAGATGGAGGTCCTCACCTTCCTTTTGCTTGGTGATGCCCATGGTTCGCACCAGCTTTGCAAAGGAAAGGAAGGTGTCTGAGTTGGCAGGCGAACCCATGACCTTGACCTTTTCACTTGCCATGTGCCTGCACAGCGCTTTCTTCTTGCCATCTTCGCAGAGCCGGACCTGTATTGTGACGCAGCATCCGCTTTCCCACAGCAGGTCAGCCCACTGCGTGTCCTCAGAGGAGGACGCTAGGACGCGAATCACCAAAGCTGACATTCATGTCATGAGTGATGCTTGCCCTGGTGCTGAAGCCAGGTTGACTAAGGAGCTGGCCCCAGACCGCAGGGCTCTAAACAGCGCGAGGTACCACGCCCAAAGGACCACGTGACCGCCAGCAAGCTCAAGGCAGGCGTCAAAATGGTCATTGCAAGCTACTGACACCTGATCCACCACAGCTATCATTTCGCAGGGCCACACCAAGCGCTTCTTCTGTGTCTTTTGCCGCTTGGCACTGGCCCCTCGAACCACGGCGGATGCCAGGCTGACATCTGTTGAAAAGAAGCCTTGCTGCAGATTCTGCAGAGACTCCCAGTTGATGTCATCCTCACCCTCCCCCATCGCCGAGGTTCGAAGCCACAAAGCCAAGCCAGAAGCCTCATAGATGCCGTTCACCGTCAAGGAGGTGGCCGCAGCTTCTTTATCCCAAGGAGCCTTAGCTGCGCTGACCTGCAGACTTGCAGCCTGAGACTTAGATTTGCTGCTCAGAAAAGGCAATGACTACTAGGGACCCTTCAGTAAGCATTTGCAGCACCCTCCAGCGATAGCCTTGCAGTCATGAGATGAGCGCTGTCAGGGTCGTGCTGCAGCACGTCTCCGTCTGATTAGTGGAGCGTTCGGCATCTTGTCTGCCTGGCTTTTGTCCAAGTTTGACTGAGACAGCGCCACGCATAACTTAACTAAGGGCGCCCATCATCTGAAATGAAAGCTTGCCAGCATGCCCGCAGCTTGATGCGCGCACGCAAGCTACTAAGACGCAAGGCATATGCCAGCTCAAGCTTCCTGATGAAGCACTGACTGTTACCTTCTCTACGCAGTTACTGCTGGAAAAAGTACTGGCTGGCCTCGCGAGGGTCATGTCAGCACAGCCTCCCCAGCCAGCAAGGCCAGAAGGCTGTGAGCTGAGGCCGACCCCAGAGAGTCAATCCCTAGCAATTTATTTTGATACGGTGCACCCCCCCTCTGTCAAGCTCAGTGATCACTTAAGGCGCTCCAGGCCTAGCGGTGCAGAAAAGCGAAAGCAGGCAAGCAAAAGATCACTTACTGATGTAGGAAGCACACTCTGAAATCTGAAGCCTGGCGGGCCACACGCAAAGCCAAGAAGGCTGCCAGCACTTGGCGCAGCCCTAGCACAAATGCCAAGCAGCTTTATACCCGCTCGCTTCATTAGCTTTGACGTCAGGGTTGATGGAGAGCGGGGGGGTCTTGTGCATCTGCTTGCACGCCTTATTCGCCTTGGGCAGCTCTGCGCGGACCTTGGCAAGCAGGCAGGCAAGCAAGCCAGGCCACTATGCTGTGACAGCCTACAGAGGCCTACATGCGCTTGCCTGGTAGTGAGTCAAATCTTCAGCTCCAAGCTCCCAGCCCACGGGATGACATCTGCCATGATGCAGCGTGCTCCTGCCTTGCCGCTTTGCAAGCCAAGCATGCATGCAGGTGCAAAGGGTGGAGAGCACTCTGCCTACAGTAGCTGGATGGACGAGATCTGTCAATCAGCTTAGGGCGCGGCAGTTGGCTTGGTGGGCAGCTCTGGAGGGGGAGCCATGCTGGGCGCTAATATGCAGGCAGAATGCAAGCCTGGGCCCTGGGAACCTGAAGCCTTTGGACCTGCAGCTCGGCCACATGCTTGGAAAGCCTTCGCCGTCGTGCACTCTGGGATGGCTGAGCACTTGCAGTCAGTCGCCACTGCATATCCCTCCCTTTTCGCTGCAGGCTGATTGCAGCGCAGTGGCTGCTGGCTGCTTTGCCGTCAAATAATAAAAACAAATCTCCTGCTGCGTCCTTCAAGGCAGCAAGGGCAATCTCAGTTAGTCAGCGCTAATGCGCCCGGAGCTCAAGACTACAGTGACTACAGTGACTACAGTGCCTGGCAGTACCTGGTAGGCCTCAGCGCCCAGACTCTTCAGGCACAAGACGGTCCGCTGCGTCCATCTTCGCCAGCTTCTGACTGACGTCCTGGAAACGCGAGCGGGCTTGCTCCAGCTGGCCATCCAGCTCAACAATCTCGTCCATCAACTTCCGCTTCCGCAAGCACAGCCGCTCAGAGACCAAGGCATCCCGAAAAACACGGTGAGGCTGCATCGGGCCTGACTCAGAGAGGGTCATGGACCAGGAAGCCACACGCAGGGAGATCTTCTGTTGCTCTGCAAGGGACCTGAGGACCTTGGACCCAATGTACCAGAAGGCGCCGAGTGGGTGCAGCTGCGGGCTTTGGCTCTGAAGTAGCGTGCTGGCAGACACTTGCAGCAATCGCAGACGTGGCTCCTTGAAGGCAAAGAATCCCAAGCTCATGGCTGCAGCCTCTGAGCTGCAGAGTGCAAATGTGGAAGTCCCATTGGCCCGCGCTTCTGCAAGCGCTCGGCTTGCCTGGCGCTCCAGCCCTGAGCACTCGTTCCTTGACAGCAGCGTCAGCAAGGGCTTGGTGTCTGCCGTGAAGATGTCGCCCTCGCCGTCCGGCAAGGTGACAAAGTAGCAAAAGCCAAGCTGCCCTGGCTCTGGCTCTTGCGTGCCCTCTGCAGCCACTCTTGCTGTCTGCCACGGGCTCTGGATCTGGGGCTGAATGTCGATGTACCTGCGACGCAAGCTGTGCTGGCAAATCCAAATGCTCCACATCAGCAACAAGGTCAGACAGAACACTTCGACGCTGACATGCCAAGACGAAAATGCCGAGGCGCTGGATCTCCAGCCTCCAATTGCCAGGGCGCTTGAAGGCCAATGTTAAAGGGAGCATTGGCCAGCATGGGCGGCTTGTCGTGAAGCCACCCGCAGAATAAGTGTGTAGCTCACCTTCTGCAACAGCCGCAGCCACATTCTCCAACGTCTCCAACTTGACAAGCAAGAAGCTTGGGCTCAGCACTGCGCTGATGATGGTACCGCTTGTGCCATGGGCTGCGCGCGCAAGCAAGCGCTTGCATGGAGCCTCTGAGTTGGTCAGCGCTGCCCCCAGCTCACGGGCCATTCGCTTCTGGTAGGTAGCCACAGCTGTCAAAGGATCGGCTGAAAATGTGGTTGGCATCAGCAAGCCGCATCCCTCATCCCAGCTGTCATCCTGGGCAGCTGCATAGTCAGCTGCCAAGCTGTACTCTGACGCTGGAATGGCTGTGTAGCCAACGCGCGTCCAGCTGGCACGAAGGAGTCCGCCAGACGCAGCACTCGGCTCCACAGCGCTCATGACACTGCAAGGGAAAGAAGCAGGCGCTTCAACTTGCAACGCAGCACTTGCTACTGACCTGACAGCCCTTGGACCTGCAAGCAATAAAAAATGGCCGTGCATCAACCTGTCACCAGCGGCAGTGGCACACACGCCTTTTGCTTCCTGCACTTATCTCTGAGTCCCCTGCGTGCCTTGCCCTTGGACCTGGCATCGCGGTATAGCTCACTGCCGCTGAAAATGGGAAGTAAGAGCACGCTGTCTCCTGCCTGCAAGCCGTTCACATTGACAAGATCTGGGCTCTCATCATCCATGCTTCCTCCTGGTCATGGGCCGAAGTGCAATGCAGTCGCTGGAAGCCATCCCTCAACTTTAGTCCTCAGGAACGCAGCCACTTCTGGTGAGAGCGACGGACTCTGCTGCCCTACCCAGTTGCCTTGGACCAGCTCGTGCAAGTCACAGCCCACTGCACTTCTCAGCCAAGTCACATCTCTTCTGGTACAGGTAGTTCCTAAGTCTCCAAGCAATCACAAATAGCTGAAGTGAGCAAGCAAAGAAGCGTGACTGGGCCGTGCTGGCTAGGGTCACCAGGGTGTGCATGGCTTTGCAGGAATTGATAGCCACCGTCTCTGAAGTCAGCTTGTCTATGAGGGCTTGCAAGCGCTGGCATTGGATTCGCTGCTGTGCCTCTTCCAAGTGCTGCTTCACCAGAGGCAAGAGCTGTGATGGCTGCCTGCCGCACCATGTCCGAAAAGCCCGTGCGTTGGTCCCATTCCTGCAGCTGCACACTGGCTTCCCACACTGCCCAGCCGCTAGCAGAAGTGCGCTTGCAACTGGCTCTGGAAATTCACAAGCCAACATTGACCATGGATTGCTAGACCGCATCTAGACAAGCCTGCTTTGCCCCACTCAAAAGGGTACAATTTGCACAGCCTCACTGGCTCACACAAAGGCTGCGCACTGCTATGCCACAAAAAGCTAACTTAATCTGGGGATGTTGATTGTCAATTGAAGATCAGCTGTGGCTGTCTAAGTCTGTCCGCCGACATTGCTTGGCGTGTCGGACACTTAATAGAGGATAGAGGACGCCCCCCCCCTTACCCCCCCCCCCCCGCTGAACGTCTGACACACACCCCCCGTTCCGCGCGGCAATTTGATGACGGTCTGATAAAAACAGTCTTCGGGTCTGGAGAAACAGGGGGTCCCAGGCTCGAATCCCCCTGCCGCCTCTCTGCCGGCTCGGGTTTCCGGCTTCCCTTTGCTGAAAGCATTGAAAAACTCAGTGCTTTTGGACATCATTCTTGCGAAACGTTGGAAATGCATGGAAATAACGGGGAGTGAAGGGGGAATGCAAGGGAAGGGAGCAAAAAGGGCACATGAAGGGGAAATCCAGGAAAATGCAATGACATGCAGGTGGACAGGAAGCGGAAATGACAGGAAATCAAGGGACGTGAGCGAAGAAGAACTCGATGGGAGCTGAAGGGGAAAGGAATGAGACACGCAAGGGGAATGCAGGGGAAACGCGGGGACATGACAGACAGTGACGAGGCAATCAACGGACACGCAGGGAGATAGTGTGGGGGAATGACTGGCAGTGCGTGGGGCACACATGGCAAATGAGGCAGACATACTGAGAAAATGACAGGGAAATGAAAGCGGAATTGAAAGGAAATGAAGGGACATGACGAGGAGATGATAGGACATGACGGGACATAACAAGGAAATGAAGGGGACATGAAGGGGCAGTCAAGGTCGGAGTAAAAGAAAGAGAGGGTGCTAGAGAGGAAGGGGAAGAGAGAGAGAGGCAGAGAGAGGAAGGGGGGAAGAGAGAGGCAGAGAGAGGAAGGGGGGAAGAAGAGAGAGGCAGAGAGATGGGGGTAGAGAGAGAGAGATAGAGATAGAGATAGTGATAGAGATAGAGATAGAGATAGAGATGGAGGAGGGAGAGGAGGGAGGGAGAGGAGGGAGGGACAGGCGGTAGGGAGAGGAGGGCAGACAGGAGGAAGGGAGAGGACGGAGAGGAGGGGAGGGAGAAGCAGGGGAGCGTCGGCGGACTGAGCCGGAGGCTCTAGAGTTTTCTAGATGTGCTTCCAAGGGAGCAGCTTGCTGCTCCTGGTAAGAAACCCTGAGCGCAACGTTGTTCCATGCAGCGCATGCGTGCTGCAAAGGCTCCAGTTGACTTCTTTGTCGCCGCACACAGCCAAGCGCCCCAACGCCCAGAGAGTCTCTCTGATGTGGAGGTGCATGAGCCGACAGGCCTTCATCTTGATCTCGCCAAGCCTCACAGGCTGGCTACATGGCTGGCCATGGAACACCTGGAACAAGCATGCGCAGGCAAGCAGCTTCTCCTCAGCCACCTTCCACTGCCGCTGGTGCGTGGAGGTAAATACAGCAAGCCGCCCGGCAATAAATTGGGCGGCCATTGCCAGGCACTGCTCCAGCGTAAAGCTGGCCATGTCTGTGTTGGGCTTGACGGTAGCCTCCTGGCAAGGCAAACTGTGCTACCTGGTGACATCAAGCCTTGGAAAAAGCGCTTATCTTATCTCCTGGCCCACTCAAACTTGCACAATCCAAAGCTCTGCCAAGCGTCCTTCTTGACTTTGCGCTTGCCAGCAGCAGTGACAGCTCGGGCTGCCACCTGCCGGCTTGGAAGAAAAGCTTGTCGATTCCCCACACCGCGGGTCTTCTTGAAGTAGTTGACCAAAACCTGCACCAGTGACATGCGTGGACCTGGATTCTGAGCTGCCTTTGCTTGCTGCAGAAAGTAGCCAGTCAGCCTTAGCTTTGGTCAGTTGCTTCATGTAGACTCTGCCTGCCTGCCTGCCTGCCTGCCTGCCTTGCTTTCTGGCTGCCAGCCTGCGCCTACTCAGCTGCTGCCAGAGGGCTCTGGGCGGCGGACGTATGCGCCAAGCACAACGAAGCCCAGCTGCTCAGAAGCTGACAAGGCTTGGCATGCTGGTGTGCGCAGGAGCTTTGCCAGGTAATGCGTCGTCTTGTCTTGAGATGGGCCTGGGCTGCTGTGCGCCATGCCACTTAGACTTGCGTGCGCTAGCCAGCATTGCCTTGCCAACCCTTGCCTCATGTGTCTTGACCCTTGGAAGTCATTTGCAGGGCTTGGCTGCTGGAGAAGGGTTGAAAGCTGCCTCTCAAGGGCTGTACTGGACTCTTTGCTGCCGTGTGACATTTCAAGGCAGCGTGGAGAAATGAGCCGCGGCAAGCATGAAGAGGCGTGTATGGCTTGCCATACAGCGTCAGAAAAGGGCTGGCTGTGTGAAGCAGCTGAAGCACCAACGGGCTGGCAGCCGCCTAAGCAGAAGGCAGCGAAAGCATGCCATGTCCAAATTCCGAAGAACAACGCCCTCAGCAAGCTGCTGCCTAGAAGCCATTCTTGGGATCTGGCATCCAACTCGATACGCCAAGTAGCCGGCAAGCCATGCCTGGGCTAAACCAAGCACACTCAAGCGCATTCGTTTGCTCAGCCTTTGCATTAGGCCAAAAGGCTGTCCAAGCAGTGTGGTCCCTGAAGCTTGCTAAGGCACAGCTGCCAACTGGGCTGGGTCCAGCTTCAAGTGCCTGAAGATGAAGGCCACCAAGAACTTCCAGCCAGCCCCTTCCTGGCAAAGCTGCATTGCCTCAGCTCGGGTGCTTGACCAGCCCACAAGTCTTCTGTACCTTGCCAACCTTCACCTCCAGCCCTGCACTCACTGCAAAGCAGCCTGTCCAAACCTGATCAAGTTGGCCCTTTGACGGGCAGCGCGGGCCTGCTAATGCCTTTGGAAAGTGAATGGTAGGTCTCACTTGAGTGGGCCCTTGCGCGCTGCCCCGGCCTTCTCAGCAGATCGCTGCAAAGCAGACCGGGCTGTGGTAGGGCGATCTGCTGGGGCATCCAGAGCTTGCCTGCGTTGCCAGAAGCTGGACTCTAGCAGCAAAACCGAACCCCGACAGGCCTGACAGCATCCGATGAAGTGGCGAAATGCTGTTTGGCCCTTGCCTTTCTTCTCTTGGAGGCAGGCATCCTTGAATGTGCTGACATGACCCTTGAACTGCAAATTGTGGTCATGCAATGAGGCTTGAATGTGAGCAAAGCACCTTTGCATGCCTGATGCCACGCTGCTTTGGCTGACTGCAACCCTTGAATGTTGCAGGCTTACCCTTGCAAAGCTACCCCCTGCTTTGCAGAATTGGCTTGCACGAACCACCAATGTAATCCACTTAGGGCGGACTGAGGTGTAAAGTCAGGGATCCTGCACTCTTGAATACACCCTTGGTTTGCACGAACCGGGGGTGTAAGGCTGTGAGACAAAGGACTGCAATTTCACAAGGGGGGGCAAAGTGAAAACAGTGGCAACGATTCCCTGCCAGTACACTGCTAGTCTGCACCAGCCAAGGGTGTATTCAGTGGGGGTGGCACAAGCCCTTCCCCGGGCATTGTGCCAACCAGGCAGGACCTACCTTTGAGGCTTCATCTTCAGCGGCTTTGCCGCAGCAGACTTGCAGCGCAAACTTCTCTTCTTGGACAAGCAGCGCACTGACTTGAGGAAGCGCCACAAATCATCAAAGCTACGCAGTGTCCAAACAGGCCTCTTTTTGCAGCCCACCTGCGGCCGCGCCTCGCCAGTGGTGACTTCCCACTTGGAGTGCTTGGCGCGACTGCAGCAGTGCAGGGCTTCAGCAACGTGGTAGCACCTGGCCATCAGGGCCTATGCCTCAGCCCTGTAACCTGGTGTGAGGCCCTGGCCCCGCCTTGCCACATCATCCCGCAGCTGAACTGCCATTGGCTTGATTTGGGCGCTGGGCCCACACTCAAGCATGGACGGGTCAGGCTTCTCTTTGGTCAGGGTTGGCACAGCCTCTCTTGCCAGGATGCGCTTGCCCAGGCCATAGCACAAGATCAGGGCTGCAGCCTGTGCAAGCAAACGTGACGCAGAAGCACCAAAAAACTGCCTTCCTCAAAAAAGATGCCCTGCTGTATCCTGGATGGATGGTAAGTTATCTGGCCCTGCAGTTCAACTTGCTTGACAGCTGAGAGAGTGAGGCACAGCTTGTGTCTTGCCAACCTTTGCATCATGCCTCTTGACCCTTCAAAATCATTTGCAAGGCTTGGCTGCTGGAGAAGGGTTGAAAGCTGCCAAACAAAGGCTGTGCCGGACTTTGCTGCCGTGGGACATTTCAAGGTGGCGTGGAGAAATGAGCCGCGGCAAGCGTGTGTGGTGTGCACAGGCGCATGACTGCGGATGCATGTGTCCAAGCGCAGCTCTGCAGTGCAGTTCTGACGAGCGCGTGCGACATGCAGGGCTGCTTGCGCGTGCGTGTGTTTTTTGCTAGCGCGCCTGTGCCATCGCAGGAGCGTCTGCGCAGGTGCGCGTGTGCTTGTCTGCGTGTGCGTGTGCGACATCGCGCGCGTATGCATGTGCGTGCGCGCGCAGGCATGCGCGCGCAAGGAGGTGCCTGCTGCCGCATGCGCGTGAGCATCTGCACGCACGTATGTGCGTGTGTCTTGTAGCCTAGGCTAAAACCAAAGTGGTCGAGAGTGAAAGTAAGTACAGCTCTGTGAGTCTAAGGCTGCTTTCTGCCCAGCAGTTTCTACTAAGCCTTGGGCTAGATGGGTGCTTCTCTGATCATCAATGTCTGCCAGTCGGTCCACTACCAGAATGTCCGCTTCCATGTAGCACATGGGGGAAACTGCCACAAAGCCAGCACGAAACGGCAGCTTGGGGGACTTGCAGTAGCGGAGGTAGATAGGGCAGAGCTTCACAGGCTGCAGGGCTGGCAGTCTGCTTGCGGCATGCTCAGGCTGCCGCAGACCGCCAAGCCGCGCATCTGTTGGCACGTATGCAGGCACTCCAGACTGTCGCCGAGCAGCAACATCAGCCAGTCCTTACCACACATGCGTAGCAACGTGCTATTGCTTCAGTCGCGCGTAGGCAAGAAAAGGTGCAACGAACTTAGGGCGAATTGCTTGCCGAAGCTGCGATCTGCCTTGCGCTTGGTGTGGTTCCGGAACTTTGCCAAAGCATCGCCTGTGGCGCTGCTGGATGTAGCCCAGCGTGTGCCAGAGAGCTCCCTGTGAGGCTGCAAGGGCAGCTCAAGGCCAGGCACAAAGCTCGGGATCTGCAAAGCCTTGCTGCCTGCACTCTCTGAAGCCGAGGCAGCACGGCTCAACTTGCCACATGCCTTGCCGCAGCTCGCCATGACAGCTGCAAAAGTTCCAGCAGCATGGGGCTTGCGCTTTCCACCGCCCCCGCACCTGTAGGTGTACCTGAATCGCCTTCCAAAATGCTCCAGCCACAGCTGCGCGCACCGCCTTGCAAAGGGGGTCGGGGCTGACACACTGCTGCCGGCCTCAGGCTTCTGAAACAGCCCCTCCTCACTCTTGGGTCCATTGACTGCCACCTGCACAACTGCGGCAATGGTTTCGCCTGTCTGTGACAAAGGGCCACTATGCGCATCCAGCTGGGCAACCAAAAGCCCAAGGTTTCGCTCCAAAGTGGAGGTGTTCAGCTTGATGCTCAAATAAAAGGAGATAGCTAGCTCGCAGTCAGCGGAAAGCGTCAGCCGAGGTGCATATTTGGCACGCCATGACGAATGCAGTGGCCAGCTCCAAGCTGCTTTGTTGGTCACTTGCAGTCCCTGCTGCTTGGCTGCTGCAAGCAGTGGCAGGATAACCCCAACTATAGCCCGTAGACCAGACAGCACACCTGAGCTGGAAACACCTAGAAGCTTGCACAGCTTCTTGCACTTCTCTGGCATCTGGACCTTGTAGACCTCGGATCTCCAGGACTCCAAGTCAAACACCTGCAGGGCACTGGCAACCTCATCCTCCAGCAAGTCAACCTTCAGCCGCTCCAACATTGCATCCACAATGTCAGACAGCTGAGACATGATGTTTCTGATGTCCTGCACTGCTGCCTTTGTGCTAAGAAAGTGTACACGATTGCCGTAGTATATCCTCAGACTGACTGGTTACCAAAACAGCATTTGCACTCAACAGAAATAGCAAGGCGAGTCAATCCAAGGCTCGGCTCTGGCTCTTCGATTTGCTCGAACACAATCTGGGCCACTGGCTTTGCCACTAAGGCCTCCGAAGCGTCTTGCGCCTGTTGGCCTGCGGTGGGCTGCGCAGCTGCAGGGTCACCCAATATGTAGCCGTCGCAAAACAGGCGTCGCTGCCGGCGTTGGAAATCATGGAAGACTGGGACCAGCCGAGCAACATCTGAATCTTCAACATCGAAGTGGGTTCGCAAGAGCCGCAAGCACTCACTGGTGTAGTCACAAGTGAGGCCGCAGCGCATGAGTTGAGGGGCAGTCATGGCCTGCAGCGCCGCCTCGGCCCTGCGGCGGATTTGAGCATCTCCTCGCTCCTGTTGCAGCTCATTCACATTGACACAGAATGTACGCGAAGCAACAAATAAGATGACTAATGTAAGCAAGTGTCATCCGCAGCCTGCATGGCACACAGCACAGCAATTGCATGCAGGAGGCAGCAGTACTTGAGCATTGGATCCGAGGTGGAGTCAAAGCGCTGCTTGCCAAAGCTGAAAGTGCGCAGTACTTTCTGAAGGCCTCCGCCCTGAGCACCTCTGGACCTTAGGACCTGCTTCTGCGCCGCGATGAGCCTGGACTTCCAGACCTCGGAGTTCTGGATGTCCGGGATCAATGCGTGGCGCCCAGCAAATAGCCGCTGCCACTGATCCTCAAAGTCGGGGACTGCATGCAGGGGGTCCTTGCACGAGATCCGGACCTGGTGCGCAGGATCTGCGCTTACCCAAACCAACTTTGCTAAGGATGCCTGCCGGGACAACAGCTTGCCACATTTCTGCGCTGCTGCGCACTGGTCGGAGGCAAAGTGCCTGACGTGTCCCTGAATGTGCTGCAAGGCGTCTTCGTCAACTTGCCCCGCTGGATCCTGGCAGGCACGCCTAACCAGCTCCTGGATGGAGTTTGCCATGACCTCGCTCTTGTCGTCGTCGTGGAGCTCTAGCGTGTTTTCTGGCACATCCCCGCCAGTCCTATAGACTCCAAGCACGCCCTCACAGGCTGCTGGCGCTGCAAGTGCCCACTCTGCCAAAGTCTCTGGGACTTGGGGACCTGCTGGACCTGGGCCCTCAAACAGGCCTGTGTATGCTGCCAGCGCTTTTGGCTTTGCAGAGCATCTGTAGCGGAGAATCCTGTAGTCCTTCCTATCGTCCACAGACAGGCTGATGCTGTCCGCCTGCAGCAGCAAGTCTTTCTGCGCCTCCTTGACCACCCAGGACATGACCATGATCATGTTTCTGAGGCCTGAGACAATTCTGCTCTGCCCTAGTCTGGAATTTTAACATGGCAACGGAAAGCAAGAGATGCTTTGCCAAAAAGCTTTGCCGGATTGCGGCGCAGACACACCTGCGCTGGAGAGTGCAACTTCTCCCGGCAGCAAAATCGTCTGTCTGGAAAAAAGCTGACGCGGACGCAAAGGAGGAGGCAGTGCGACTGGCTCGCCACGCGCGCAGCCAATCTTGAGGCTGCGGGACGTTGCCCTGGAAAAGCGCCTGGTCCTTCAAGTCGTAGGGGAGGCACTCAGACACCGGCTTGTCCGGTGCAAGGAACAAGTTTGTGGCAGCCCGGTGGACTGTGCATTTGGCATGCTGGAGGATGCAGCAACTCTGCATGGCCTTCCTTAGGGGAAACAACTGCCCAATGGCTACAAACTGGATGCCGTCTCACATGCGGGCAGACCGAAGCACACTGATCAAGCTGTGCCAAGCAGCAGCGAGCGAACCTCATAGGCACCCCACTTCGTCGTCATGCGGCTACCCAGCCTGAGCATGTGTGCCACTGTAGCAGCTGGAGTTGCTGAGTCAAAATTAGGCCTGGACAAGGCTTTGCGCTGCGCTGGATTCTGCGCGAGTGTGTTGACCAAGTGGGCGCAGAAGTGGCAGCCCACACCCCACTTGCCTTGGCGCCTTGACGGCTTCTCTTGTAGCCAAACTGTGTGCCGCTTCTTGCCCCAGCAGCCGTGCTTCAAGCTGCCAAGGCTGGACCACCGCTGTTGCATGCGATAGAACCTTAGTGCAGGCAGCTGCATGTCATTTGCACTGTGTTCTCTACCTAGCGAGTGTCTGGAGGACTTGACAATGACAAGAGCAACCTCAATCACCCAACTATGCAACAAATGCCAGTCTTCTCGGCTGGGGTGCCTGCACCGGGCGCACTTCTTGCTGTCAGCTGGCTTGCAATGAGCTGCTAAATGCTCCTGCTGGCTCTGATCAGCATCTCCAACATCCATACCCCCTGCCTCATCTGTAGCACCTGCCTCGGAAGGGTCATGGCAGGCAGGCGCTGGCTCACCTGCACCCACTGCAGCCTTGCGGGGCTTCTTGGCTGGCCTTGTGGCTGGCTGAGAAAGCTTTGGCCGCTCCCTTTTGCTGCCTGGCTTTCCCCCCAAGCCCCAGCGGTCTGCCAAGCTGGGCATGCTGACCTTGAACCTCTGGACCTATGACCTCATGGCTTGAGCCATATCAGTGAAAATTCAATGCGCAAGCTGAAGACAGTCAAGGGCAGTCACGGTTTGCAGCTGCACCCTGCCAGGTTGAAGCTGAGCTGGCACTGAGCTCCCTGCTGTGAAGGTCGCGAAAATTGACCTGCAGGCAAGCAGGCATGCTACTTGAAGAGTGTCCATCAGCTACTGCTAAACCTTCTCGGGCACCATGTTGCTTTCACGCGAGCAATGGTTTGCCGTGTCAGTGCTAATTTTCTGTACAAGTTGATGGAGGCTATGCTACACCAATCAGGCTGTCAAAGCGTAGGAATTGAATTCTCTAGTCCCAGCGTGACAAACTCAGAAAGCTCGTCGATTTGCTGTGAAGCCCACGCCCGCATTGTCTTTTCTGCTGGCAACGTGCATGGCTGCGCCGCTTGGGAGCCATAGGGCCCCAGCGAGTGAGCAGCCTAGAGCACGCACTTCGTAGTTTAGGCTGCGCCTGCTGCGCAAGCGCGAGCTTCCTGCTGCGCACAGGTTGGGCCGCTTGGGCCGTTGGACCCGGGGCCCGTCGGCCGCTGGCTTTCCGCTTCCGAGCCACAGGATCTTGCACCCTGAGACTGGAGCGAAAGCTCTGTGATGCGGCAGGGTCGCCCCAGTTCACCATGGAAGCTGTTAAAAGCATAGCTGCAGCAACTACTTGGACGTGCATGGTGTTTCCCCCCATGGCCCCCAACTGGCTGTCAGACACCCCGGAGGGAATGATCATACGGTGGAGAGGAATTGCGTGAAGAAGAAGCTTCTCCAAGGGCGCCAGTACTCGAGACACCTCCTTCACAGCAACCAAGCCACGCGGGGTGATTGTTGGCACCTTGCCAGATGTTTGGCAAGGCAGTCGCCCCAGACCCTGTGAAAGGTCGACTGCCAAGCTGGGCCCGCCACCCTTCTCGCCACCCTTGGTCTGCAGCACTGTGTCCCAAGAAGCTCTCTGGCGCGGAAGGTGCAGGTACAAGTCATCACTGCTGCAGTGGCTGGCCACATTCCGCGCCAACTTGCCAGCCAATCCCGAAGCCAAGGCTTTTGCGTGAGTGTCTCGCCACTTCGCATTGGGCTTGGGGTCTGGAAAGCCTTGCGCTGCTGCAGTCTCCCACGCCTTTTTCCTGAGTGCCTGGCTGTGCAGGATAGCTGGGTGGGACGCTGGCAAAAGTCTGTCTGATATCTTGGCTTGCAGGGTGTGGGACTGCTTGATGACTGTCCATGACTTCTGCACTCTCCCTTCAAGCTCTGCAAGCGAAGCCACTGCCAAGCCGTTCCTGACACCCAAGAAGTAATAACGTGGTCGACAAACAGGCTCCCCCAAATCTTCAGGGCCCATCTTCAAGCACACGACCTGGTAGCCTTGTTTCCTGAGAAGACCTAGGACCTTGGCCACGCAGCGGCTGATGGCGCGCAGGCGCGCACAGAAGGAACAAGTCCGGCGCCTTGCTGCAGGGCCATCTGCAATTGGCCACGCAGCGGCTGATGCCAGGGACATTCTCTAGCACAAAGCATGGCGGCTGCAAGGCCTTTATCCGCTTCAGAACTGCAAAAAAGATCTCGGCCTCCCGCTCCTTCAACAAGGCTGATCTCCAGTGCAGCATGGAAAAAGGCTTGCACGAGAAGCCGCTGATGTACATGTGCACATGTGGTGGAGCTGGCTCCTTCACAGCCTGCAAAATGTCAGGCTGTACTCCAAACACTGGCCTTGTGTTTGCCAGCAGCACCCTCCTTGGTGCCTTTGCCTTCTCACAAGAGAAGATGTGACTGTGAGGCAGCCCCAATGCACGAAGTGCATGCACTGGGGCCTCAAGACCGCTGCAGTCTGTGCCAACTCGCAGAGGCTGTGGCATGCTGCGTCTCAAACGTAAGCCTGAATTTCGGGCACCCTCTTCTGCAGCAGCTAGCATCTTGGGGCCCCAGCCATCCAGCCAAGCAACCACATTGCCAGGCAAATTGCATGCGCTCTGAGCCCCTGTTGGCCCTTGCATATGGACCTCAGGACCTGGGACCTTTGCGCGCAACACCCTGAGACCTGCTACAGCTGCAAGCGTGACGCGGGGCCTGCAGTCACACATGGGAGCCAGTGGGCCGACCCTCAAATGGAGCCAGCGGACCCTTCAAAAGCATCTAGCTTAGCTGTGGTCCTGGCAAGGGTGAGTTAGCACTTCTCAAGCATGCAGTAGCTGTCCGTTGCCACGGCTTGACCGTCCTGCCTTGTAGTAAGCCAGTGCTGACGTGCCACCAGCCTGCAGAAAGTAGCTGTGTGGCTGGCACATGATGCCTTCTAGCATGCCTATCGCACTGGCCTGGCGCTGACAAACCAAAATGACACTCGGACTAAGCTGCCGGCTGGCTGCCTGCTTGCCTGCAGCAGCTGCTTTCGCCCACAGAAGTTGCAAAACATGGCTGTGATTTTTTTGAGGGCGTGTAACGCGCGACGCGGCGCGAATCTTGTTACGGAGGTCTGTAACGGGGTCCTTGTGACAGAGGTGTAACGGTGCTTGACAAGTGTCAGTAGCGCAATGTGGAGCTCCAGCTCGAAAGTTGCAACTATTCAGTGCAAGCGCAGCACACAAAGCGCACCTCTGCAGCTGCAGATTGAAGTTTGCAGCCCCTCAACGCAGCCAAGCAACGGCAAAAAGGGGGCTGCTGGCCCGGGCTGGGGCTGGGTCTGCAACGAGGTCTGTAACGGCTATCTGACGAGGTCTGTAACGAGGCAGAGCAAACTGCGGTACCGCAGCTCCAGCCTAAACAAATTCAACCGTTGAACGCAAGCCAAGCGACGGCAAAAGAGGTCGCTGGCCCGGGCTTGGGCTGGGTCTGTAACGAGGTCTGTAGCGGCTATGTAACGAGGTCTGTAACGAGGCATAGCAAAGCGCAGTCGCAAGGCGCACCTCCGCAGCTGCAGCTTGACACTTGCAAATGATCAACGCAAGCCAAGCAACGGCAAAAAGGGGGTCGCTGGCCCGGGCTGGGGTTGGGTCTGTAGCGAGGTCTGTAACGGCTATGTAACG